TTCAAACATTTAAAGTTGCCATTAGAACACTAAAAATTAAAACGAAAGTAAATAACGGATGTGTCTACCTCTAGCCGCAATGATAGCTTGTATTCTTCATGGCATCGAATCAGTCCAATTAATTATTTCTTCTTGAGAAAGAGATCATATTTTTCATTTAATGCTAACCTGAGCTGTCTTAAAGTTGTAGGCTTTTTGGGACAGCAGCGAAAGCGTTTTCTTAATGCATCCCAAAAATTTTCAAATGGATTGAGGTATGGGCTACAAGATAGTCGATCGATGGTCTTCTTGTGGTTATTTCTTTATCGTTTTTTTCAAAGTGCCTGTTGTAAGTAATGTTTTATTCAACTGGTAGTAGCTCTTCGATCCCTTAATGATACCCACATCTTATCGCGGCATTTGTAAAGCGCGGGCAACATAATTCTTATTACGACCATCTCTCTAAAGCGTCGATTTTTAAACAAAAATCATGTTTGGAGACGGTTCTTTAGCGTACTTTTTCAACAAGGTGTTTTAAACTTAAGACTAAAAACACCATTTTGACTTAAAATTTTATCAGAAGAAACTGCACTTAACTTAAAAAATTGGTCTATCGTAAAGCGAAAAAATATAAAAATAAAATAAAATCAAACATAAAACAGTCGAGTAGATGGCGCTAGAGGAGAAAGTATCGGGTGCTGTGTGTCCCAAATTTTTTTACAATTTATAGAGAAAAAGTTTCATTTTAGTGCTAAAATCTGTAGTACTTTTGAAACACTGGTGAACGTGTGCTTGGAACTTTTTTTTTCTTCCGTTTGAGATGGGTTTGTTTCAAAAATTGAAAAGTTCGAAAGCGACATGTCCAAATAAAGATCTGCAACAATGACGATAGATTCGTGTCTTCGGCGTTCGGTTCGAAAAGTATGACAATAATTTACATACCGGGTACAAAGTATTCCAAGAAAAAATGAACATTACTGTGAACAATAAGGATTTAAAAAATTTGTATAGAGTAGGAGCAAAAAATCCAATAGTAAACAAACCGGCGGCTATATGGTAAGTGCTGACGCTCGAGGAATGGTCTTAAAACATCCGAAAGCATTAAAGAAGATCTAACTCAACCGTGGCTGCACCAATTTAGAGTGATGCAAAAGTTTTCGAACAAGAATGTGTGTGTCTTAACGGATATATTTACATTAAATCCCGTAACAAAGTGTATCGTGTTGAGGCTGAAGACGACATATATGAAATTAAGGAATAGGTGAATGTAGTAAAATAAAGATGTTTTATATTTTAGACTAATAGTCCCCTCGCATAGCAGCTAATTTATTTTTACATCCCTTAATTGTTCGAGTCTGCTTCTTTTCTAACTTCACACGGATTATTTTCGCATAACAACTTATTTAATGTAATTTGTTTCTTTATTTTTTTTTTTTTCATTTTTATTGTCATCAAGTAACGATAACTTCACATTTGCCAGTTTAAAAATGTTCGTTAACAATCATTCCTCTCGGAAATGAGCCGACTGTAATTTACTTTTTCAAAAAATTGTTTTTGTATTTTGTAATACAGCGGCTTATTGATATAAATATGTCATACATTGTGGTATCTATCTGTCTGTATAATAACAAATTTGAATTTAACTCTCGGTGTCATACAGCATCTACTTTATTGCCTTTGGTATCCTCGTAGTTTTCACTACTTTTGGCTTTATAACTACTTGCTTCCTTCTAACCTTCCCTTCCTTTTTTTATAACCTCTAGATATTTTGACCCATTTCTAAACCAATTATTGAGCAACAATTACGACATCGTTGGTGTCTAAGTGATTGGGTTGATCAGGTGGTAGTTATTCCGATAGGCGTTACTGTATATAGACCAACCAATAGTAACATATCAACATTTTTTAATACACTTGAAGAATCTTTTTTTTAATATATACTTCAACATAACATAATATGCTTTGATAATTTCAATATCACTATGCTTAATTTAAACACAGGTCTTGGATCTGTATAATACGTACAAGAGATCATTAAAAAATACTAATCTTCATACTTTATTTATATGATATTGAGCAGAAGCTAAATATCTTATATAAATATTGGAATTTCATGCTCCCTAAGGACATCATTAATACTAATTTATCAAATATTTTTAACATCACAGACAAAATCATCTAAACACTCTTTGGAAATGACAATGAAATGAAACCCATATACCATAGCATAACAATTCAACTTAATAGCTTGGGTCGCACTCTTGATTCACTGTTGCGGTTCAGAGGACAAGTTACCAATAAACTAAGGGTTGCGAATTTCAAATTAATGTATGGTAATAGGTCTTTGTCAGCGAATTCGTAAACTGTTGTGTCAATCACTTGTCCTCTTAGAGTTTAACCACTGCAGTGCTGTGTACAGACCATATTTGGATGCTGCCAATCGTTACCGTGTCCAGAAGGTTCAGAACTCGCACCTAAGCCTAATTTATGAAGTAAAGAGGAGAGATCACATCTCCCCGTACCTTGCTGCGTCACGTTGACTGAATATGTACTTTGGATGCAAATTGCGAATGGATTCTCTCTATTTTAACACAAAACAAAAAAACCTTTACCTTTTAATACCCTGTTATCGTAAAGAATCGTTTTAAAGATCATATTCCCATAATATAACCGTCTGCATTAACTTTAGGCCAAATTTTAATATTAATCAGTCAATTTCAAAATTTGGAAATGATCTCAAGATAGTTGTTGCGGTTGCGATAGTTGGTGTTCGTCAACTGCTGATGAGTTTATTTGTCTTAGTCTTAATGCTCTTTAATGTTCTTTGATCTAGTTGATATTTTTTGCCGCATATGCATGGAAGGCTGTAAACTACTGGCATCTCAACTGGAATTTTGTCTTTGACGGATCGAAGATGTTGACAGATTTTTGGACAACTGGCAAGTCTAGTTGTGATGTTATATTTCTTTAGAACTTTTGATATGTGGTCAGCGATGCTTTGAATGTAAAAAAGTACAACATTCGCAAGGGTGGGATTGCTTTCTGCTTCATTGCTATCGGAAGGTTGTGGTGAAATGTATTTTGTGATGGAATCTTTAATGTGGAAATTATGAGATAGAAGAGCAGAGGCTCTGTAAACAAGAGAGTTGATACCCGATGTGTCTGTGTCCGTAGGTTTTCTGTAAACACAATGACCCAATGTTAGGTCTGATTTTCTGTTGATAAGAATATCTAAGAAATCTACCAGGGATTTTGGTTTTAGATGAAAGGTGTCGAGAGCTTTCTTCTCAAAGGTTTTCATAAACATATTCGCGATTACTGGTGATAGTGAAGAATATGTTCCAGACAAGCATTTTTCAATTAAGGTGAGAAGGTTTGGTTCCAGATTCTCGGATTTTAATATATCTGAAATGATGTTGAGAGTTTCAGGAATAGAGACTTTAGTAAAGAGGGATTCTACGTCGAAACTAACCAGAATGTCTTGCTTGCTAGACATTTTGTGGAGAACCAATGGTGCTGATAATAGATCGAAGGGGTAATCCTGGTTCGTGACTCTTTGGAAGTCCGTAGAGACGAGGAATTTTAGGGATGACTGGCTTTTCCACAGAGTCTGATAGAGAAGAGGCCTAATGACAGATTTAAGGTTGCGTTCCATAGATGACGTAGGATATTTTTTATTTGACGCTATGATCGGTCTATAATAATATCTTGAATATTTTCCTGATGTTCATTTGTGTTCATGACCACCGTAGCATTTCCTTTACCTGCTTTTTTTTTTAAATCGAATTTCATTAGCTGTTTGAGATGGCAGTTTGTTTAGGATAGACTCTACATTTCAAATGATTTCCTTTTTTGAGATTATACGTGGGGCACGGGCAAAGTTGGAACCTTTTAAAAGGACTGATTTTTTCGTTTCCGAAAGTTGGTGCGATGACCCACTTATCACAGTGTTTGGTAGTTGAGAAGAGTTTGATGGTTTCACTGGCGTTAGTTTTTCAAATTTATGAATGTGATTTTGGGTAGAAGATAAACGAAGATTTATAACTTTGTCATGAATCATGTTTGAAAAGATACCGAACTCGGATGAGGATAAGATGGAAGCAATTTCAAGATGTAGAGACAGAAGAGCCTGATTGATTTGGCCTATTTCCTTACGGGTATGGTGAATTCTTTCTCGAAGTATGAAGTTTTGACATGATTGAATATTTTAAGAAAATTGGGGATAACGTGATAGTCTCTATTAAGTAACAAAAAGACCAGTGTACAGAGTAATCTTACCAGTTTTAGTCGGTGATCTTCTAGCTTTCTGCTTTTGTGCTTGATGTCCTCTCAATTTTTCGTTGGTAGAAGAATTCTTCTTCCAACGAAAAATCCGAGAGTCTATAGAAATCAATAAGCAACCTAATAATCTTAATCAGGTCTTTACCTGTCACCAATATGGGAATCATCTGAGACGGTTTTTATGCCCCTCATTTAGCTCCCCCCCCCCCCCCCCCCCAAACAATATATAAGCAGGTACGGGGTAAAATGCTTCAGTTAAGCTCTGAAGAAGCCAACAGGATGATTGGTGAAACGTTAGCAAGTTCGACTGTGAAAGTTTATTTGAAAAATTAACCGTTTATGGTAACAGAAAAAGTTGAGTAAAACTACATTTCTTAGTTTTAAGTTTAAAAAATTCGTTTTTTTTTAATAAATTAGCGAATAAAATTATTGTTTAAACCTATGATTGCGCTTAATGTGAAAATAATAAAGATACATCCCAACACTAGTAACAAAGATATTAACTTCGAAATATCTTTAAAAAATTTCTTAATTCCAACAATTAAAATTATCGTATGTAAAAATAAAGATTTTGGCTACATGCGTCCATTAGAGCGAACCAGCGTGCCGAACGATGTAAAAAAATCGTGTTTCCCAAACAAAACAATAAATCGTCGAGCTACTAGGCCGCGTTTCGCGGCTAATGAAAATACAAACACGCTCCTAACTGCCCCAGTCATAATTTGATCGACAGTATTTACCTTCTGCTTCAATTGTTTCCGGACTTGGAAGCCTCTGAAGCCGGCTTGGATCTTGGTTGCTGCCTCCACCTCCACGTCGTTATCGCCCCCGATTTCGCCATTACGGACAGTGTTACCTCCTTCGCCACCGTGATCCTGCTTATCTCCCATGTTTGGTGGGTACGACTGAAGCAGACCGTTCTCGATCGGCGTCGCGGGCCTCGCTTCATTTGACGCCTGCGTCGTCGCAGATTCGCGCCCGTTCCGAGGAGACGTCACGGCCGCATCATCTGCTGCAAATCGGACAGCAACACGTTGTTTATTGAGCGACCGAAATGGGCTAAAATTAAAAGTTAAACTAGCAGCCGCAAAAACTGCTCATCAAAAAATTACTAAAATCTTCACATCGTTCTAACCAGCGTAATAATAGTTGTTTTCTTCGTTGGCGCGAAAATCTGATGTAGTGAACGTAAACTGGACAATGCGGAGTGTCAGAAGTTGTTATTTGCGCCCAAAAATAATGACCACCGAAAATGTTGCTCCCGCAGTTATGTTATTGTTAAACTTATTCTACATTCCTCTTGCGTCAGTTGTTGATAGATCGAACTTACTGACGTTTCTTACAAACGAATCCTATCGTCAACTTAAAAAAGATCCTACGACATTCCCATAATGTAACTTTAAATCTGCTATAAAAGCTTCTTCCATATTAGAATACGTGAAAAAATCTCTCACCCCTCATGACTTCAGAATTCCTTGTTCTACCGACTCACTAAGGTTTACAAACCGCGGTTACCCTGTCGACCTTCTGTTAGCACCTATTGTTTAGCAAAATATTTAGCTTCTATATTAAAACCCTTTACAAGGAAAACTGTTTCGTACTTAATTCATTTCATTTAATTGAAAAATTACAAACCATTACATTAGATACAAACAATATTCTGGTTAATTTCGAAATAGAGTCCCTCTTCAGATATATTAAAATCCGAGAATCTGAAATCAAATCTTCTCATATTAATTGAAAAATGCTTTTCTGGAATATATTGAACAAATATCAGGAACAGCTATTCCTCCAAGATTTTCTTAACAATTAACATCTGTACTTATTTCAAATAATTTCTCCATTAAAGATATTGGGTCTCACTGCAAAATACACCTTTTCTACTCCTGTTTGTAAAATACCTAATCACACACCGATCTAGCGTGCGCGAAGCGTCACTTTACCATGTCAGTTTCGTTTCCCACTGGTCCGAGCTACTCGGACATTTCCGAGATATTATGAGACAAGTGCAGGAGCATTCGGATGTTTTCGTAGATATTTCCCACGTCTTGAATTTTGACAATTGTCAATTCTGAAGGTCATGTTAGTAAATTTATTCGTATTGTTTTGTGAAACTAAAACTAACGGTCGTAGAAAAAGTATAATATGCAACACGTTCAGTAAACTTTTTATGTCACTCGTTTATTAAACTCGTGAGTCAAATTCCGTTTACCGCACTTGTTGCATGATATACTATTACCACAACCTTCCAAAAAAAACTCACACTTGTCATTGCAGTCCTTGCTTACATTCAAATCATTACCTGACACATTTCAAAAGTTTTTAAGACATGCAATGTTAATACCAGCACTCACATCTGCAAGCCCTCAAAAACGAAATTTCGGTTGAAACACCAGAAGCATTCCATAAATATACGGGAGAGACAGGACGAAAAATATCAACTAAAAATCGGGTCTCCGTCTCTCTCAAATAGTACAAAAGTTTAACAAAATAAATTGTTTGATTGTCGACTCTTGACATTTTATAAAGTTTCGTGTTATTACGTTTTACTATGTCAAGAAATATCCGCTGAAATACCATTCAGGGTACCCCAATCGGAAAAAATTTTCATAAAAATACTCAATTTGCTATGACAACGTTAAGAAATGCTTGTATTTTATTAGTTGAACATTGTTGGCGTAAAATTTTTTCAAAACATCTAAAAATGAAGTAATATACCGATTTAAAATAAAGAAGTAAGGCGCTGTGAGATACTTATGAAATACCCTGTATAATAATTTTATATGATAATATAATGTTTGAAATATACTAAACTAATTTTTTAGTAGTGATATCACTGCACATAGTACGCGATTTTCAATTAATTGAGACAGCGATAATCTGGGTCATTAAATATATTTTTATAAAAGGCAAATAATTTTGTTTAAAAAACGCGATAAAAACGTTCGGAAAGTTATAAATGCTTTAATATTGTAAACCGCTGAATAGAGGTTCCCATACATATTATATTACTAGTTTCCCAAAGTGTCAGCAATTTGTTTATATAGAACCACGGTGCGAACCACATCGCCAGCTTTTTGTCATCTCGCTTGAATAAAGTTTTTTAAAAAATCAAATTCGTTTTCCACGACTAAAACTGGCGCAGTCCGTAGAATTCCGTGAAACAAGCATTCAAAAATCGACAATGTTTGGTCTCCCTCAAGAGTTTATTCGCGAAATCCGAACAACACAAAAAATTGTTCAAGTGGGTGCAGAGTGCTCCATTGACCAGGGGAAGGAACAAGCATCGTCCACAACCCTATTGGTGCGAAATAAGGAACAAAAACCGTCCGAATTTCATACGTAGCCCAGGGAAGAGACAAGCATCGCTCATCCTATTGGAAAACTAGATTAAGAAAACGAGACAACCAGGAATGAAAATCGTCATTCTCTTACTCTTACTGTTACTGTAAGTTTTTCTTTTGTAAATATTTTTCTGATTCAAGCTGGAAAGATTAATTTCTCGTTTTGAAACGTTAGAGTTAAAACCTAGAGTAGCTTCAGTCGATAATTTTAATACATCATCTGATTCCGATTCCGATTCTGACATTAATTTAAACTCAAAGCCGGACACGGTGAATCTTCAATTAGTTAGGTACCAAGCGGATAACATCCCTCATTTCGACGGCAATCCCAAACAAATAAATCGTTTTATTAGAATCTGCGAAAATTTTCTAACTAATCATCAAAATGTAAATAACCCAAATGCTTCAATAAATGTTTGTTTAATCGATACAATAATTAGTAAATTAATTGGTAGAGCAGCTGATTTAATAGCTTCTCGTTCTGAACCCGATAGTTGGTTAAAAATTAAAACAGCCGTTCTGGCAACGTTCTCCGATCAAAGATCAGTTGATTGTCTTTTATAGGATATAATTTCAATGAAACCCAATAGTAGTGAAAGTGCGCATAATTTTGGTTTACGCTTGCAAGATGCCCGTAGTGTTTTATTTTCAAAAATTAACTCTACATGCGAAGATATCAATACAAAAACTCTAAAAATTATCCAATTTGAAGATCTGATTTTAAAAACATTTATAAACGGTCTTAATTACCTTATGCAGTTAGTTGTACGTTTAAGAAATCCAAAATCTCTCGAAGAAGCCATTTCGTTCTCGTTAGAAGAAGAAAATTTTATCGCTTATAAAAATCGTGTTGATATTTCAACCAAAACTACACCTGTTGCAATGCAAAATAAACCAAACCCTCTATTAGGCCAATACCCAATTAATTACCCATTAGCTTCACAAAATTTTACCAGCTCATTTCAACCGCCAACAATTCGACCAAGTTTTAATAATTTTAATCCCCCGAGATTTCAAAATAATTTCCAAATAAGACCTTATTTTCAGAATATTCCAAGACCAAATTTTCAAAATAATCAAAGTCAAAACTTCCCGAATATTCAAAGAAATAACCCGATGATCCAAAGACATCAATTTAATCCAAGACCTTACCCATTTATGCAAAGACCTATGCATTCAATTGCAAGACCGATGTTTAATCAATATAACCAAAATCCAACCTCAAAATTTGACAAACCGGAACCTATGGATACTTCATCAGGCAATACCCGTATAAATCAAATTCAAAAAAATAAAAATTACTATCTAGCAAAAGAGATGGACAATCAATCCACAACCCCCCAAGCTAATTCAAACAACGAAATATCAAATTTTGAAAGTGAAAATCTTTATGATTTTTATTATCACGAATATCCCAACCTAGAATTTTCCGATCAAATATATCAATTAGACGAAAATAAGTACTGTTATAATGAACAGGACGGAAATTTTCAGGAAACTCCGAATACGAGCAACCAAACTTAACGCAAAATTTTCCCCAAAACTACACTTCAATATATGACGCTCAATTTCTATTAGATACAGGTAGCGCCAAAAGTTTTATAAATCCACAGTTAGCTTACAAATATTACCCAGACTTTATAAATATTGAAAATTTTTCAGTAATGTCAGCTCATGCAACATCTGTTCATAATGAAGTAATGACAATACCATTATTTCCTTCTTTTAATTGCCCTGATCAACAACATAAATTCTATCTTTTTAACTTTTTCCCAAAATTCGATGGACTTATAGGAGTAGATCTTTTGAAACAAATAAAATCAAAAATAAATATTAGCGAGTCTACATTGGAAACACCAAATGTAATAATTCCACTGTATTACCAACATAATATTAAAACCACCCCAGCGGATCCAAAAATAAATAAAAATTTTGACGAATCCAAATTTAAATTCGATGAAATTATTATTCAACCAAGAATAACACATAAAGTTAAAATACCCGTGACAGAACAAAATGGTATAGGAATCTTAAAATATAAAAAAATTATAAATGCTGAAATGCCCGAAGCTTTCGTAAAAATTGTCGATTCGTTTGCGTTAACAACTATTACTAACACATCTGAAAATTCCGTTAGTATACAATTTATTAAACCTCTAGAAATTGAATTAATAAATGAATGTGAAACTAATTTTATTCAAAAATAGAAGATAACGATCAAAATTTAATCGAACATTCAATGAGTAATTTCGACAATCTGCAAAAGGAAAATCTAAAAAATTTAAGACTGAATCACTGTAATAAAGAAGAATATAAAGCAATTAGGAAGTTATGTTACGAATATCGAGATATATTTTATTGCGATAAAGTGCCATTATCTTTCACAAATCAAATTAAACACAAAATTAATCTAACTGACGAAACTCTCGTTTACACAAAAAATTACCGTTATCCTGAAATGCGTGAAGCCGAAGTAAATAGACAAATAGACGAAATGCTAAAAAATAATATAATCCAACCCTCACATTCCCCGTGAAGTAGTCCTATATGGATCGTACCAAAAAAATTAGATGCATCAAATAAAAGTAAATGGCGCGTTGTCATAGATTACCGGAAACTTAATGAAAAAACAATTGATGATAAATTTCCCTTGCCTAATATTTCAGATATTCTTGATAAACTCGGTAAAGCTCAGTATTTTTCAACTCTGGATCTAGCTAACGGTTTTCATCAGATAGAAATGCATCCCGATGACATCCCAAAGACAGCCTGGTACTGGACTTTTCGAATTTAAACGCATGCCTTTCGGATTGAAAAACTCACCCTCGACGTTCCAACGTGTCATGAATAATGTGTTAAGAGGCTTCCGAAACGAAATCTGTTTAGCATATTTAGATGATATTATAATTTTTTCCACATCACTACAGGAACACATTGATCGATTAAGAAAAATTTTTCCGAGACTAAGGGAGGCAAACTTTAAAATTCAATTAGATAAATCAGAATTTCTACATAAAGTAGCGTATTTAGGTCATAAAATCACTAAAGAAGGCGTTAGTCCAAATCCTGACAAGATAAAAGCAGTAACAAATGTTCCTCTCCCCCAAACACAAAAGGAAATTAAGTCATTTCTAGGTTTGGCAGGATACTACAGAAGATTCATTAAAGATTTTGCTAAAATCACAAAACCAATGACCTTATGTCTAAAGAAAAAATCTAAAGTAGAACACAGCCCCGAATTTATTAAAATATCCAGATTTTTCGAAACAATTCGTGTTAACTACAGACGCATCAAATTACGCATTAGGTGCCGTATTATCACAAGGCACACCGCCAAACGATAACCCAGTCGCATACGAGTGTCGCACACTTAATGACACCGAACGAAAATACTCTACAACATAAAAAGAATTACTTGCCATAGTATTGGCCTGTAAATATTTTAGATCGTATCTTTTCCATTAGTCTGGTTGTTTAATCTAAAAGAACCAAATTCAAAACTTATGAGATGGAGACTTAAACTAGAAGAATTTGACTACGAAATTCTTTATAAAAATGGCAAACAAAACACAAATGCGGACGCCTTGTCACGAATAAAATTAAATGCTTTAGAAACCGACTCTATTTATAATAATCCTGGAGATATTGATCTTGATATTAACAAATTTCTAGACAACGATTTTGATCCGAATAAATTAGACTCAAATGAAATTTCAAAAACACTCGAAGAAGATTTCAGCATGCCAATAATTAGTACATTTCTTCTCATTCTATAGAATACCAAAACAAATTGTTTCTGACAACGGAACAGAATTTAAAAATTACGTTCTAGATTCTTTATTAAAAATACATAAAATTAAAATCCAGTTCACAACGCCGAGTCACCACGAATACAATTCACCTATCGAACGTTTTTACTCAACCCTCATCGAACACTTACGCCTATTGAAGGAAATACATAAAAATTCCGATATTATTTCACTTATGCCCTATGCGATCATTGCATATAACAGTACTATACACTCAAATAGTAATTTTACGCCTTTCGAATTGACATTAGGACACACTGATACACGTGACCATATGAACCTAATCCCTTCTCAAATATATTGTGAATATGTAAATAACCATCAAACAAATACTAAGCTTCTTTACGAAAAAGTACATAACGATTCCCTTTTAAAAAAACAAAAAACGATCGATAAAATTAATAAAAACAAAACTCCAGTAGAATTAAAAATTGGCGCAACGGTGTATAAGCGCATAGAAAGTCGAAAAGGTAAATTAAATAAAAAATTTTCCTTACCATTCATATTAACAAAAATCTTAGATAATAATAAAATTGAAATAGAAAACCCAAAAACAAATAAAAGAGAAATAACTCACGTTAACGAAACTAAAATAATGAACATTGTTCCAGATGGCTCGCAAACATCGGAGCAAACGAAGTAAAAATCCACAACCTGAACAACTATCCAGGAATCCTTCCTTATAAACTAGGTACCGCAAAAATAACCTCTAACCATTTCTCCCCACCCAACTCATTTAAAAATTTGATATCCAATATTTCTCATAACCAACTCATCCTTAAATCCAAAATATTACAAATTGATCAAATAATCAAAAAGATAAGCGTTGAACAAACGAACGACTATGGGTATTTCCAAATACATGTAGTAATGAATCAAATTACCTTTATGTACAATTCAATATATAACATTTTTGAGAAAATCGAAACCGCAATCAGCTTTGCTAAATTAAACACTTTACATAATTCGATAATTGATCCGTCTGAACTATCCGAAGAAATTAAAAACATTAAAAAAGAATTAAAGGAAAATCAACTGCCGTTCGAGTTATCTATCGAAAATATATAAAATTTTGAAAAAATTATAGAAATAAAAAGCTACTCTAGAGGATTAATAATAACATTTATTTTGGAACTACCACTAGTAGAATCAGAAATTTATCAATATTACCAGTTGTATCCGCTACCAGTTAATAGTGAACAAGAACTGCAATATTACGTCAATATACCGATCAAACCATACCTTGCATTGAGTGGAAATATGTACTCATTTATGGACTCTGAATGCGTAAAACTATTAAAAAATGAGTTCATGTGTAAAAATATATATATTACCTATATGAAGGACCACCCTCCTTGCTCAGCCGAAATAATAACTCACAAGACCAATGTGACAAACTGTAAACCAATTAAAATCCAACTTCAAGAAATAAAAATTTTTAAAATCCAAAATGGAAAATGGATTGTTGTGACACCTAAGATGACAATAGCAACAGTACAATGTAATGACGACATTAACACTGTACAATAATTTGGATCCCCAAAAACTGAACTAAGGACCTATACCCCTAATCGATTGAGATTTGATGATACTCGTCTATCGGAAGTGAATCTCTCGCTACTACACAAGCAGAAAACAATCTTCGATCCACCAGAACTCACACTGGACACGATCAACCTAAAGGAAATAAAGGAGCTACAAATTCAAATGAACGAAGCAAAAGAAAACCTTGGAAAGATGTCATTACCTATATATTCTACAAGAACTAGTGTTTGGACAATTTTGTTGTACCTAATAATTATAATGATTTTGATTTATTTGTTATATAGATGTTTTCCATTTAAAAAGTTACCTAAAATTAATAAATAGGAAGAGAATATTATTATTTAAACTGAAAGCACTTGTTGTACCCGTGCTTTCATCTAAGGGCGGAGGAGTTTTAAATGTTTTAATATTGTAAACCGCTGAATAGAGGTTCCTATACATATTATATTACTAGTTTCCCAAAGTGTCAGCAATTTGTTTATATAAAACCATGGTGCGAACCACATCGCCAGCTTTTTGTCATCTCGCTTGAATAAAGTTTTTTAAAAAATCAAATTCGTTTTCCACGACGAAAACTGGAATAAATGTCACAAAACCAGGCTCCTCTAGAGAAAGACGGATAGCAAAAAATACTGGGTCCCCATTTTTCGATGATTATTAGTTATTAGTAAAGTTAGAGGGATTCAGTTTTCTTAACACTGTGCTACTTTTTCAAGAAACGAAAGATGCCAGAAACAGAATTTTGATAATCCTTTTAATTTTTTGGGAATCTCTCGTATCTCCGTTATTCTAAAGTTTATTACAAAAGAAAAAAGTGGGTTTGTTACAATTTATTACGCAGAATTTAGTGGCATGCTCAGATTTTTTTCTATCTTCAATTATTTTGGACAATAAACTAAAAATATAATTTGTAAATGGGCCACCCTGTATATTTTTGATAATACGATCGAACTTGTCAAGAGATTCTCGAAAATATATTCAACTCTTATGGTTGTTCTTAATATTAAGCGTAATATTTAGTTTTTTTAGTTGGCCACGACACGTTATTTGAAAAACAAAATATCAAAGTCCTCTCATATTCAGAAATTCTTGAGTTTCTGTCAAAATACCGGGGTTTGTATTTTTTGTATCTAATTAAAAGATCAAAACCAGCTATGGCAGCCATTAAATTTGAAAATTTTGAAAGGTACGACATACTAGTTTGTTATATTCAGTGTATCGAAAATGCAGATGAAGATTTAAAAGCGCATTTTAACAGGTTTGCATTATTGTAGTTTCTTCTAGTCAATTTATTTTTCTATTACTTATAGATATGCAGAAAGAAGTAAGCCGGTTAAAAGAATGTTCTTAAGATTAAAATCAAATTTAATTAAAAATAGATCAGTTTGTAAAGTTAGGCCCAATGTTTACAATAAGGAAAACAAGGAGATTGATGAAATTAATGTAATACCACCAGTCGCAGAAACGTATTATATTCTGTCGGAATTAATCACGTGTTCAAACACAAATTGAAGCCATATAAATTTCATCGCGTGACCCACAACACCAAATTAACTATTGTAATTGTTATTCACATAAACAAAAACAATTTAATTTAAGTTTAAGTTCATTTTTTTTATTTTAATTTTTTAATCACTAATATCTACTTTTATTATATTAGGGCTCTATCTTAAATAAAAATTAGGAGAAGTGTTAATTTAAGTGGAAATTTTTCTATAATCTGTCATCACCATGACCAAATAACAAAAAAATTTTTTTTCAAAACTTAAATATTAGGGTTAGTATTAAAAACACCCATTAATTATTATATTAATTATTATATATTTTTGCTTGTAACCCACTCAGTCGTATTCTCCAAAAATATACAGCGTAACCCATTTAAAAAAAAAAGTTTAGTTTATTTCTCAAAAATAGTTGAAGATAGAAAAGAATCTGAGTATCGAAGCTTCCAAAAACATCCCGTCTTTTAAAAATCAATATGGATATGAAAATTCTGTTTGTGGCACCTTTTGTTACCCGAAAAAGTAGCAAACCATAGAAAAATCGGCACTCGTTTCACACATTTACATCTATATTACGTGCTATTTATAAAACCGTGAGATTCACTTACAATTATAACAAATACTTGACCTGGGCTCTCTGCGATTGCTGTTTGATTACCGCTTTCCACCGACAACCCTTCTCCGATGTATTCTTCCCGACTCGCTCGTTGGATGGAAACGCTTCCATCTTCGAACTTCTGCGAACGCGACTGAGTCTCACTAGATACGGAAACTCCAGTCGACTTGTCATTCCCGTCCAACTCGTAGTTTGATTGTACTTTAACTGAATAATCAACAACTTGATTTGGAAACAAATTGTGAACAGTCTTACTTTTACGAATTACTTTCGCAGGTAGCTGCACCTTGTCGCAATCAAGACTATTTGACTTGAAAACGGCATTGGTGCCGTGATTTTCCAGAGCCGAACCTTTTTTAGGCTCGACTTCTTCCTCTTCTATATCAGGCAAATTTCTTAATGGGCTTCGCTTCGATACATTGTCGTATTTGGAATCCAACTCCTTATTAAAACTAGTTATATATTGCACCAATTTGTATTGGTCATCGTTATCTAAGTGGCTTAGCTGATCTGACTTATACAACGATGCTGCTTCCTGCAATTCTTTCCTCAATTCCTCAATGTCGAACTTATCGCCCGTTTGCGAAATTTTTCCAGATATCTGGTCCAAAATCTGGTTTTGCACCTGATCGATTAGACCCACGTGTTCATCTAAAGCGTCACTCTGTTTCAAAAATTTCAATGACGTGCTCATCACATCCTCAACACCACTAATATTGCCACTTGATCCTTGCTTTTCGTCGAGATTACTTTCATATTCACACTTCGAAGCAGCATTGATTTCTTCAGAACTGTCTTGACCCTCCTCAACTTTTTGATCTTTATTGATAACATTATCATCATTAACGATATCTAAAATGTTGTCAACACTTTTCCTTCTTCTTTCTGGTGCAGCACCGCAACTGTTAGTTGGTTCATGGTTTATCTTCTCATCATCGTTGATAGTAGGTATATTATTTGTCTTATTATTATCGATAGTAATCACTTTTTCATCTGTCTCAACTGTTCTTTGAATTAACCCTTCAATGTTCGAATTAGTTGCACATTCGTTCCTAATAATTGCCTTGATATTTGATTTCTGTTCTTCTGGAGGATTTATCTTATCAATATTTAATCCTGACTTTTCATAAGCATAGGTCTTGCCAATGTCCACGCCATTATCTGCCAAAGCGTCTTTAGCTTGTACCACATTTTCTTGTTCGCTTGAATTTGATTTAACTGTAGCATAAAGAGCTTTGTATTCGTTTTTTGCAAGTTCCTTCTTTATATCAGGCGTATCCTGATTAATTTGACTTAATTCTTCAGTCTTTGAGAGAACTTTTTTATTTTTTGATTCTTGGTTATCTTTTGTCTCACTGATTTTTTGAAAAGCTTCTTCGGCAGTTTCGTTTTTTACTTCGGATGTTTCTTGGGAAAATTCATTTAACCTTTCGTGGATTGAAAGAATATTTGATTCTTGTTGGTTTAAATTTTTTATCTTGTTAATCGATTTATCTACAGAAGGAACTTTACGTTCCTTAGTTTCGTTTTCTATATTAAGTTTACCATCTAAAACTTCACTTAATCCTTCTGGATTTGAAAAAACGTTGGAATTATTATTTTTATTATTATCAATATTAGTTTTAGATACCTGTCGGTACAAGCTTTTGATCTTGTTTTCAACGATAACATCTTCAGCTTCTTTTGTTTTGGACGCATTATGAGACAATTTTGTTAGTCCCTTATCCTCTAAAACAATCTTATTAGATTTCTCATTATCATGGTCCACGCTTGAATCTTGTTTATATAATGTATGTTCCGTGTTGCTATCTATATTATTATCCTGAGAGCGAGTTTTGTCTGTTACTAAAATTCCTTCCATTGCTTCATCGCCAATTGTTTCTGCATTATTATTCTCTTTTATATTATGAGTTTGGGATAAGTCAACTTCCGAACATTCTAAACCTATGTTATTCGAATGCTGACAAATTTTATCTAGGCCGTTTTCAGTACTACTCTCGCTGTGCGTTAAGATTTCTTCTTTTGGTGCAATATCAGTTATTACAGTGTCACTATTTTTACCTGTAATTAATTTAATATTTTGATGCGGATCTTCAGATTCGGCTGGAGTTTGAGTACTATTTTGTACTTCTCGAGCGGCACTTTCATTTTGAAGTACTTGTTTTTTCTCTGTATGCAGAATTAGGTTTCCTGTGTCGAAAGAAGAGTTAGCTTCGTTGACGCGTTTCTCTATTTCGTCTAGATTTGCTTCATTTAAATCAGAGGATTCGTAAAGCTGTGCGTGTTCGGAAATATTTTCAATTCTGTCTTCAATTCGAGAATTTTTAGTTGCCTCCAAATCTTCCTCTTTTGTTTTCAGCGTCTTTTTAAAATCATTTTCAGATGTTACATTATTTTCTTTCATATTAGTACCAGTAAAATTAACGTCATAGTTGTGCAAATCTCTATCGTGTGCTACTGTATCATTTTTTTGAAAAATGTCAGCATCAGATTCGTGACGTTTTACTTCTTGTGTTTTAACTTTAACATTTTCAGCAACAACTTGCTTCACCAGTGAATCGGACACATCAGGAAGTTTCTCGGACGACTCCTTGTCCTTATTAAGAGTCGAATCTAAATCTTTGATTTCTACTTCAATTAGCCCGTTGGAGTCACGACTAGCTTGGGATTTTTCCAAACTTCCGTAATTGTTTTCACTTGTGACGGAATGTGTTTTCTTGCTATCCAAACATGTTTTTGCCTTTTCTTCTGTATTGGATAAAGTTGCTGAATTATGCTGACCATTCTTTTTGAGCTTTTCAAAGCGCCTTCTTTCTAAAAAACCTCTAACTTGAGCCTGAAGCAAGATGACCCCTTTGAATGCGATCTTACCTTCTCTATAGTCTTGCTTAAGCTAAAAATAGAAATAATAAACAAACTACCAAACAAGAGGATGAATGATTGTGCATAAATGAGGAATCAACATGAAACGTTTCGTTTGAACTTTAAAATGATGATTTGTTTATTGCTTCTATTTTTATGTAAGTATTCGCATTGATGATCTGATCCTTATTTTATTACACCGAAAAACAACCAGGAGACTTTTCGAAAAGCAGACATTTAAATGCTTACCTTTTTAGCATAATTCCTAGCTCTGTGGCCTCTCCACAAAGCTTGAATTTTTATGACCGAAGCGTTTTTTGCAATAACTAAAGCTGAATTCTGCACTTGCTTCCTCATAAGGAAGCCTTTCCAGCTTTTTTGAATGATCGAAACTGCATCTTCGAACGTAAGTTGGTGCCCATTGCGCCGCCGTTCATATTCTTTAGTGATCTCTTTTTCTTTTACTATAGCATTGTCAACGGACATGTGTTGTTCAACAAGGTCATTGTAACTTTTTACTACGAGGTCATGACTATTGGATAAATCAATTCCTGACAAAATCCGTTTTGCTATCAAGAGATCTTCTTGCAAAGCAACAACAATGGTATGAATGCCAGGTTTCAATCCATCATCTTTACTAGCCTTTTGAATCGTTTTTATACCTTGATCATTCGTGCCCTTAAAAACGTTTCTTTGTTCGCTCAAGATAAAGGAACTTATTGTATGTTTGCCTTTGTCATCAAGGTTAACAATATCAGCGTTATGATTTTTCCTTTGCTCTGTCCCTGATGTGATATTTTCTTTTCCTTCGTTTTCAGTTTTCTCATTATTTTTAGGCATTGTTTCGCTTGCACTTACACCGGTGCCTGCTTGGGTATGTTGCAAAATATTAGACTCGATTGTATTTTCATCGTTTTGATCGCCTTGAACAATAGATTCGTGATTATTTGTATCGAAATGTTCAGATGTGACTAGCACTCTAGTATCCACTTTAATATCCTGTTGAGGTATTTTCACAGAATGCTCTTGTTGAATAATATCGTCCGGTTTATCGACTTTTATTTCTGGATCTTCTTTACTATTTAACACAGACTTTTTTAAATCGCGAGGTTCAACTTCCTTGACGTGATCGTTAATGAAATTATCCTTAATCAACAGGTTTTTTTCTAAATGAGGTGACACAACAATAGACGATGATTTTGACCCCGTCTTGTTATTATCGATATTATGGGCAAATTCTGTTTCATCAAAATTCGTTTCCTCTCGTATCTTTAAGTCACTGGCATTGTTGTTGTTATCAGAGTTTTCTCTGATAATATGCATATCTACAGATCCCGTTAGCTCTACTGGAGAATACATTTTCTCAGAAGCATCTGTTGCATCGCTGGTGGAGCATTTTCCATGTGGCAATTGCCTTGCCGAACTTTCGTTTGGGGTACCTGAGGAATCAACATTGGAAATAGAATTTTCTAAGGATAGCTGAGCCAATTCACTGTTGCGAATAATATCCCCGGCATGGAATTTCGTGTCCCATTCACCATCTTTCAAAATAGAATTGCGGTCTGCACCTGCAATTTCATATTTTTTTGTGTCCTTAAGCAACTTAATTTCCGCAGAATCTTCCAATGGTTTAACTGACAAGATTTCATCCGCTTTGGAGCTATCAGGGTCATTGTTTACCAAAATACCTTTTCCAACTAAAATTTTCGACAAACTCTGTTTTGAACCTTCGGGTGTCCTGTTAGTTCTTGTTGTTGGTTGTTCAGCATCTTCTTCGTGAGCATTCTTACCGTTTTCTATTATTGCGACATTGTCATTCGACGATAAGTTTATTGCATCCTGCTTATTGGTAATCACGTCTTGGCGACTGGAAGGTGGTATGGTTTCACTTCGTCTTTGATTGGTTTCTCCGCTATCATTAAATTCAACGTTTTCATTATTGTTACGTATCTCGAGATGGATTTGTTCGGCGTTTGAAATATGCCCAGTTGTTAATTTCTGTTCTTTTGCCGTGCCAGTTGCGCCATTAGTATTGAGCGTAGCAAATTCACGTTCTTTGATTTCGTCGTTCCCATCTGAATTGTTTTCTTCGCAGGACGATTTAGGTTCTTTTATATTCGCTCTGTTATCTGTTTCCTCATTTTCTACATGCTTATTTGCTAAAGGAATGTCAACTTCTATTGCAGGGGCATTAATAGACTCGCTGATTCCTTGTTTTGTTTCTTCTTCTGTTTGCTTATTATTCAAAGAAATTATAACTTCATGTTTATTGCTTTTTTCGTGATTGGTCGTCGTATCTGTACCCGCGCCGCTTAAGTGCTCTCCACAGGTGTCGGCAATGGGAGGTTTCTCGTCGAACTGTTGAGAATCAGAGGGAGCAAAATTTGGTTCTTCATTGGTGACGTATCCGTCTTGAGCGTTCTGAATCTCTTCATTGGTAATTACTTCGTCGCCCGATACAAGATCCTTGTTATCTTCATCTGGACTTTTGACTTTGTTTACCGTTTCTGATTTCGGTTCGATTTTTAATATCGCATTTTCATTAATTATATTTGGTTGCCCAGGATCAATATCGTCTTCGATTGGATGATTTATATCATCTTGCAAAGTCTGCTTACTAACTAACGTCCCAACTAAGTCTGGGGCGGTCGGTTTAACTGCCCTCGTGGAGTCTACTTCGATGTTTTTCTCAATTTTATTTCCAAGCATACCATTATTCTCGTTCTTGGGCACGTAAACTCGATTTTGGATTACTTTTCCAAGTTCTACTTTTTTTGGTCCGGGAACCGAACCATTTACGCCCTTTTTGTGCAAGCTTCTATGATTGATTTCGTTTTTCTGCAGTACGTTTAAGCTTTTTTGAGCACGCTCCTTGCTCAGTGTCCGTGTACCACTGGATTGCGACTCTTTATATGGAATATTTGAGCCCACATCCGTTTGTCGCTTTTCCTTTTTGTTCCTATGAAGAGAAGATTCGGATTTGGCTTTTGATTGACGCTTTTCGCGAGTGGCTATACGCCTATTTATAGCATCAATTCCAGTTTCAGATCGTCTTGGACTTGAACTGTTCGCCTGTTGCCTTTTAGTCGTCTCTTTGTCGGTCGATTTCCAATCTCCAGGCAACCTCATTTCTCTTACGCTGAGTTGACGAGAAAACAGTCGTGTTTGCCTACGGGTAATGGCAGTTGGTTTGTGTGAGTTTTCCAGCCGGACGGCTGATTGTACAGTCTGCACCGGTTTTGCTGTAAATAAATTTGTTAACTCAATACATGTGTTTTAATCAGTAAATTTAATAATTTAGTGTTTATTATTAAATATCTCGCACTAATGTCAGAGGGAAATGCTCGTCTAACTGTACGGTGTCACTGAAATGCTACGAGGTATCTCGCTTATTAAAAATAACAGAGACATGCGGTTTTTCGAGAAACAAAAGCTGTGGCAAAGAGAATTTTCATAGCTGCATTTTTGTTACCGTTTTTTATGTATCAATTAGGTGGCATACAGGCAGGTTTTCAATTATTTTTGAGAAATAAACCAAACAATGTGTCGCCCTGAATATTTTTGAATAATACAATTGAGTTTATGAAGAGCATATCAAAAATATGTATAACTCTTATAGTTGTTTTTAATGTTATATTGTTTATTATTATATTAATTATTGAAAAAAAAAAGAAGAAAAATAACAGTCGTTTTGTATTCAGAAATTTTTAAGCCTCTTTCCATTAATGCGGTTTGTGTTTTTTGTAATACATGTTACAAATTTTAATTCAATGGTCAACTAGATTAGACAATATTAAATTTAAAAACTTTAAAAAATACGACACACAAGTTTGATTTATCAACTGGCGCACGAGGAGTCCAGAATATTTGTAAATAGTATTACAATAGCCCGTGGAATCACTTTGATAAATTAACTTGCTGCATTTTCGCCAATGATCCTATTGGCTTCTTCAGAGCTTAACCGAAACTAATTTGCATTCTACTCTGTACCTGCTTATATACTGTTTGAGGGGGCTGAGCTAAAGCAGATATATGAATATTGTCTCCGCTTCCCATATTGGATTAAATCTGCCACTAAAGCTGCTTCTCTTTAAGAATCCATAGAAAATCTCCCCTTATGACTCTAAAATTTCTTATTTCTATGGACTCTTTAGAATTCACAAACCAGGATTAACCCCTTCGACCTATGGTTAGCACCATTACATCTCCAACCCATTCTCTCGAACAATATCTAGCTTCTATATTAAAACCACAACAGGGAAAACTGATAGTTAATTCCTTTCACTTCATTGAACCATCAAAAATATCAGATCCAAACGATATTCAAGTTAGTTTCGACGTAAAGTTCCTCCTTACTAAAGCTCCTATTAATGAAATTATCAATATCATTTCAGATATATTAAAATCCGAGAATCTGGAAGCAAACCTTCTCGTCTTAATTGAGAATGAAAAATTAAGATATTTTTCTTATAGTGGTCAAATATATGAACAAATATCAGGAGCAGCTATGCATTCTCCAATGTCAACAGTCATCGCAAATATATTTATGCAAGCTTTTGAGAATAAATCTCTCGACACTCTGCATGGATAACCAAAAATATGAAAACGCCTACGTTGATGATACATTTGTTATTTGGCCTCATGGTCAAGAATACACCATAACATATGTTTTACCATTGGATTAAAAACTAATAATAATCTCCCATTAGATATTCTTATTAATAGAAAATCAGACCTAACATTGGGTCATTCGGTTTATCTACAGACCGATACGTCAATGCCTTGTCACATCATCATCTGACCCAAATATCAACTCCTTTGTTTAACGAGTTGTAAATCTATCTCAACCCGAATCACCTAATCATTGAACCCACCTAATATCTTCTCTTTCCAGCAACCCCACACTTGCTACTGTGGCCCTTCTTTAGATTCAAAATTTCACTGATATGGGAATCAGTCGTCCGAGACAATGTTTATGGCCTCCTTTAGCTCCCCTCGTCGAACTCTATATAAGCAGGTACAGAGTAGAATGCAAGTCAGTTTCAGTTAAGCTTCGAAGACGCCCAGCCAGTCCAGCCACTGCAATTCTGCAGTTACGTGATAGCATGACTATTTATCTAGTTCATCTAGTTGATCTAGGATGTCGTTAATTGACCCAGAAATTTTGTTTGCCAGTTTTTATTTCGTCACTATAAGTGACTTAACTGCACAACTGCTCCTGGAATCCGGAAAATTTGTAAATTATTTATGCCGATGACGATAATTTTTATATTCGGTAGGTAAGGTAGATTTAATTTTGTTGAGGTAAGGAAGAATATTTGCTAGTTTTTGTGTTGTTTTTGAAAATTAGTTTATTTTGTTTATATTCTGTTAGTTTTGGTTAAGTTTTAACATCAATTCTTTATTGTCATAATGTGAAGAATATATGTAGTTGCAAATTATTTGTTACTTTGTTAAACTTTTTTTAGACAAAAATATTTCAGCTCCCTGTAATTTTTAAATCATGCTGGCAAATCGTATTAATCACGTACTATAGCTAGACTTTGCCAGGTGCGACTCCGTTGTCTTATTAAGTTTGTGGTATTTATAAAAAGCTATTTCGACGCTGCCTGTCAAGATGGAGCAGCTAAATTGCTTATCTGTTTACGTTTTCCAAAGATCATACCTTCAAATTTGTTCTCCCGTCTCAGTCGCAGTAAACTTGAAAAATATTCGTAAGCAAAACGGTATAAATCCTTCGGCTTCTTCAGCAACACCTCCTTGGCCAAACCCTCCATTACTTCCTCCAAACCTATCGGAACGCTCACCCGTTTTACAACCATGCCTCCAATGGAATTAGTGGAAGTCACCGAACTTGAAGTCTCCATTTTGTTTGGTCAAAAAATAGATCTATGATTAGAATAAAAAAAACAAAACATTTTTACATAATTTTTGTAACATTTTTAAAATACCTCTTTTTAACTCTCAATTCACAATTAACCTAGTGAGCAGCAATGGGCAGTTCAATGCGCCAAGAAAGAACTAAAACGATTTTCTGTCTAGACGCGAAAATAACGAACCCTTAGCATCGGTTTGTTTGTATACGGCAACCACATTCCCGTAACCATGCGCTGCGTTCGATACATTTAAATACCGATATAGCATGGAAATAGAAATTCCAAGAAATAAGGTTTAAATTATTGATAGGCTTGTTTCTAAAAATATATTTGCTCGTATTCAGATTCACGCAACTTTATCATAGTATTTGAATAAAGTGTTGAACACTCGAAATGGGGTGGCAATAACTAAAAAATATATATTCGAGCAGGAATTTAGTACACAAAGGCTTATTACCCATTCCATTCTTACTTTGCGGGGGTTTTTAAATTGTATATTTTTTTAATACCCAGAATGATAAATATGAGTGATAAAATAAGTATCTTTTAACATAACTTGGCACAATAAAAACGACTGACACCATGTTTTTAGAAATTGATGGCCAGTTATTAAAACTGACATTGCGACAATTTCATTACGTACAGGACAGCTGAATATTCTCATCGGGCTTTTTGCTTATATAAAATATTAATTAAGCCATTTTTGTCTGACTTACGACTACCCCAAACATCACACACAACCTAAGGATCGAAGCACCACGCGCGTTTTCATACCAATGATAAATAATCCTTTCTTTCTTAAGTATCTAATCATATCACTTTGTAAAAAGGCAATTTTATAAATTTTAGAATATGAATGCAAGTTGCTTTCTAAATGATCGGATCAAAAAATGTTTGCTTAAATTATTTTCACCTCTTATCATTAATTTGTACGTGTTTGCTGTTTAAGTAATATTAAATTTCTAACAGTCCAGGCTTCCTTTTTTTTATTTTTTGGTATTTTATAAAAGATCCATCCGTAAAAAAATAATTTGAATTCTATGTTAAACTTCTAGATTATATTCTTCTTTCTGTTGTAACTTCAATCGAAAACTCTGAAGTTCTCCGAGCTTGTCTGGCGATCATGAACTGATCTCGTGTGTTATTGCTTTAGCAGCGCAAAAACTATTCTTGTGTATAAAACTATAAGGGATTTTAAAAACGTAAATATACTGATCTTAATTCGATTCCCTGGCAAAGCAATTACCACCGAAATAATATTGACGAAAAATTGACATTTCTTGATATTTACGTCCCTTTCAAAACCCTGCGCAACACGGATCACGGATACCATAAAAGTCATGGTGATGGATAGGAATAAAACTTTAGGTAGATACAAAAAATTTGCCTATCGGAATACATATTAAGATGTGCAGATTCTAGCTAAATCTAGAGAAAAATGAATTTTTATTACTGTAAGAAGCAAAAATATAGACGGACATATTTGAAACATATAAACTGTTCAAAACCCAATAAAAAAATGACACTTTGAATATTATAATGAAAACAAACTTCAACTATGAGGCGGAAGTTCTTAAAAAAATATAAAAAATCTAAGTAAAAAATAAAGTGTGGACGGATTGTAATTTTGACCATTAATTTATATATGCTTATTCTGCCGCACATCACACATTTGGCTAATTTTTGTTGAAAAAACAAACAACAAAAGGAAGCAACCCAGACTATTTTAATCAACTCCAATAAGTAGAAAAAATTCCTATAATCATTGATCATCAATGTTGTTTCCAGAAACATCATAATTGTTCCACGGCATTACCAGCAATAGTGGACGACATGGTAGATGCAAAGAGAATATTACAAATCAATATATAATTATAAATTTTGTAACAAGTAGGAGAGTTGATGCTAGTAATCTCAATATTTCAGTTTTCGTTTTTCTAAATCACTGATTTTCGGGGAAATATTATCCTGTTATACTCAGACTAGAGCAAACAAGATTGCTTTCGAAAAATCGTTACTAAGCGGGGCAAGTTTGTAACGCGTAGCAGGTTTTTATTATAAAAGGAAAGAGCTTCGCGGTTACGTGTGGTAAAGGGACGCATTGTTTTTCTATCGTGCTCCTGCGGACCACTATGGAACTTTCGGAAAATCGATGTAATTTAATTGTACATGCACCCTGTATAAAATGTCCTTCACATCTCATCGAACTTCAAAGTTACAGCAAACATCGGTAAATATTAAAATTAGCACAAATAATAGCGTTGTCGAAGGATATTTTTTCAAATATCTCGCGCCCTATATAATTGACGAAATCTGAAACTCTCTCTCGACACGCTTTACGATACTGTTCAAATAAAATTATCCCATTTTTAACAGTTTTTCATTTATCGCCAATAATTTACTCACAAAAACGGAAATTTTTAGATTATTTTAGATTTTTTTCCCATAAACGACACACCCTGTATATGATACAATCATTGTTCCAAGTAGAGGTTATAGGCCTGGATTTTCCACGCGTCCTGGTTCAAGAACTTTTTGAAAAAAGTAAATGATTTTCGAGAAAATAAATTTTTTCTGAAACCATGCGTCTGGACAGTCCCCGAAATAACGATTTCGATATGGATTTTTTCAAATATCTCGAGCAGCGTATGTGATAGACGAAAACTGCAAATACACAAATTGTAGGTCTTAATGCGGCCTATGACAACGTTCGAACCAATTAGCTATATTTTTTACGATTTTTGATTTGCCGCTAATAATTTACTCCGTAAAAAATCAATTTTCTTGTCTTTTAGATTTTTGCCTATAATTTGAAAACGAAAACCCTGTATATAATCGAAAAAATGCCCGAAATAAATGTTATTGCACTGGATCTTCTGCATCTGCTGATTAAAGTATTTTTCCAATCGGATGAAAGATTATGGAGGAAAACATATTTTTCTGGAAGCTAAAATTACCTAAATTTGAAGTGGATACCTGCAAATTTAGGACACCTAACACATTTTTCATTTAGCACGGAATATCGGGAACATCCTGTACAATAGGTGAAAACCTTAAATATAAAAGTTTTTACTGTCTATGCGAGCTACATCGCAATATAAAAGAAAGTGAGATCTGAATCATAGTCTTTCAGTTATTTTATTATTTTCAATAATAGGGGGACCCATTTTCCAGTTTTTTTGAATTTGCAGCGCACCCTGTATATTTTTGAAAAATTGTCAAGAATGAAAGTTTATAGAGCCGCATATTCTGCGTCTTCTGGTGAACAGTTTTTGAACAATGATGTTTTTTGTAGATCCTTGAACACGCGATTTTTTAGAATACTTCCCGACCCACAGACCCCCCCAGTTTCAATAGGTTCCCTCACGCGGCAGAGCAAAGTGTTTCATAGCAAGGTCCAAAAAACAGTCGAAAATGGCGCAAAAAAGATGGATTCCGGCATCGGATCAGGACCATTTCTTATGAGCTTATGTGCCTCGTGGAGGGTTAAAAAGGAGGGAAACTTCAATTTTGTAGCTCCAATGGTTTCTAAAGTTATTGAGGAAAAACCAAAAGACGAGAACAGATAAAAAAAAAATTTTTTTTTCGACTGTGATCATTTCTGTACCAACGGCGATCCCATAGGACTGTTGCCGAGATATAAAATTTTTATACGAGCACAGATACTTTCGAAAAATTCGATTTCATCGATATTCATCATCAAAAATAAAGGTTTTTGGCTCGGATCTTCCGCATCGTTTGGTTAAAGAATTTTTTCGATCGCATATACCGTTTTAGAGAAATTATTTTTTTCTCGATACCCTGCAAGTGCAGTTTTTAAATTTTTAAAAATACTTCCCGACCCCCCAGCCGGCCCCCAGTTTCAATAGGCTTCGTTACGGAGCTAAACTCTATATATGTGTCAAATTTCAAGTGGATGGCTCCAAATTTCGGACACTTATCGTGTTTCAAAGCGAAGTCCAAAAAACAGATGAAAATCGAAAAAAAAGGTGGACGCCTTGGTTTGATCAAACCCATTTTTTACTGGTTTGTGTACCTCATGCACCCCAGGAATCCCGCCACACCGTCAACGGAGGGCTCCATAGGGAGCACACCGGAAACGGCAGGCGGGAAGCGGAAAAGGAAGATGGGAGAGACCACCCAGGTTGAGGCACCTGCCGGGGGTCGGCGGCCGACACGCGGCCCGGCGAAAGCTGGGGGGACTCTGAGAGGGGGGCTCGGTCCTATGCGCAAGCGGCGGCGAGCGGGCCTGAACTGGTGGTGGGCCTCAGAGGACAGGAAACTGACCTGTCTTCAGAGGATCTACTGCGGTTCATAGGGTTTCTTAACCTCCGCGTAAGCATGTATATCATGGGTGGGGGGGGGGGCAAAACAACCCTTCCAGGATACGCTCGGTTAGGCTGTGAAGGAGCCACATCCTGATGGAGATGATGGATGAAGAAACCAGGGAGTGGGTGCGCAGGGAGCTGATCCACGTCAGGCTCTAGGGGCTCGCAAACCTGGTGGAGGTCGATCCGGAAAGATTGAGACTTAGAGGGACGGCGATCTGGATTCAGGGCTTGGGAGATGGTGTCTCGAACGAGGCACTAGTTCGCTGCCTGGCAGCTCAGAATGTCGTAGATTGCGGTGCCTGGAGGGTCTGGCAGAGGACGGAGGACGCAAGGGGCACAAGGTTGGTGGTGGGCGTAGACGAGAAATCGGCAAGCGCCATCACGGCTAAGGGCTCACTTCTCTTCTGCCTGGCGACTCAGGTTAAAGTGAACCTGGCGGCGCAGACGCCGCAGGGGGATGAGGTGACCGCGGGGGGCTCACACGAAGAGGGCTCGTCCATGGAGGTTGAGGGGCCTGTCGGAGAGGCAGCGCTCACAGCTTCTGTGGAGGAGACCTCCGGAGGGCCCTCCGAGGAAGGGAGAACCGGCGAGGAATCTCGAATGGAGGTTGAACGGGGGATCCCATCAGGGTCCACCAGTCAGGAAGCGGAAGCGGAGGGAGGTGCTACCTCTGGCTCGGATTCGTGACCCTCAGGTGGTATTCCCGTAACAACATCTTCATGGGGATATTACAAATTAACCTGCAACACAGCAGGGCTGCAACGGCCCACTTATGCAGGAAATTTTCGGAGGGCGTTACATCCATTGTACTGATCCAAGAGCCCTGGATTGTAAAATCAAGGGTTGGGGGCTTAACTCTGGGAGGGTCGACGCTGCATAGTGTTGACTCCTTAGAGGGCGGTCCCAGGGCCTGTATACTAACCATGGGGCTGGAGGCCTTTTTTCTAAAGGACAAGGCGTCCAGGGACCTGGTTCCAATTCTGGTCAGATCCCCCACTCGAGACGGCGTGAGGGAGGTAATAGTCGCCTCTGCGTACTTTCCAGGCGACCACAGCTGTCCTCCGCAGGAGATCAGTGACTTGGTCTCCTACTGTGTCCTACTGTGAGGAGACGAATCTTCCTCTTTTGATTGGCTGCGACAGCAATGCTCACCACGTTTTGTGGGGCAACGCGGCGACTAATAGAAGGGGGGAGACCTCGTGGAGTTCATGGCCTCAGCAGGGCTGCAGGTAGCCAACAGAGGGGTAGAAACCACGTTTTTCACGACGGATCGGAGCTCGATTATAGACTTAACACTTTGTACCAGGGCTCTGCTCCCGGAAATAACTGTCTGTGGGGAGGACTCTATGTCGGACCATAGACACATCACCTTTGGGTTGGAAATGGGTGTTCTGGAACCCTTAGATTTAGGAACCCCCGGGCAACAAACTGGGAACTCTATAGGGAGGAGCTCGCTTGGCGCCTAGGGGGTTTACCAAGAAAACACCGGATGTTGGAGGAGATTGACGAGGCCGCCGACCGCGTCAGCTCCGCTATGATACGGGCTTTCGAGAAGAACTGCCCTGAGACAGAGGAGCATAGGACGGGAAGGACTCCTTGGTGGAGCTCTTCCCTGGAGCGTCTCAGGAGGAGAGTGCGGAGGCTGTTCAATACAGCGAGGAGCAGTAGCCAAGGTGCGGACTGGGATCTCTATAGGGAGGTCCGCAGACAGTACAAAAAAGAACTACGGGCATCACAGAGAAAGGCCTGGAGGGGCTACTGCGACGGAGTAATGAATACCCCGGACGCGACTAGGCTCCTTAGGGTACTCAGAAGTGACCCTGCGGGAAGACTGGAAGTTGTCTGCAGGACCGGCGGTGGCTACAGAGCGGGACCAGCGGACACACTACAACAGTTGCTGACCACGCACTTCCCAGGGTCCCCTAATCCGGACACAGGGGGGAAGGCGGAAGGCAAGGAGGGTGGTTACCCATAGTAGGCTGAGGTAAGCTATTGACAGCTTTGGCCCCTTCAAGTCGGCGGGCGGGGATCCTGACCACCCGCTGTTGGACCTGTTGCGAAGGGATAGGTGCCCGAGCTGTGGCGACACAGCAGGGTAGTGTTCATCCCCAAGGTAGGGAGAGTCACTACACGGACCCGAAGTCGTACCGGCCTGTTTGCCTCGCCAGCTTCATTATGAAGACTCTGGAGAGACTGGTGGACCGGTATCTGAGGAACTGGGTGGAGCTGGAGGCCCCTTTAGAGCCAGCTCAGCATGCGTACCGAAGTGGCGGGCCACCTTCCAGGAACATATAAGATCAAGGACCAGGTCAGCCTTTGGAGCTCTGTGGGCGTGCCGCAGAGCGGTAGGGGGCACTTGGGGCCTGGGACCGAAGATCATGCGGTGGACCTACGGTACCATGGTGGTGTCTATGCTCACGCATGGGGCAGTGGTATGGTGGCCGGGAACCAAAAGAGCGGGACCAAGGCTAGTTCTTGACAAACTGCAGAGATTGGCTTGCCTCTGCATAACGGGCGCCATGAGAACGGCGCCCACGAGGGCCCTAGAGGCTCTGGTGGGGTTGCCCTCTCTGGCGGATCGGGTGCAGATGGAGGCAGCCAGGACGGCTGTGAAGCTGGCGAGTTGCGGGCTCTGGAGGGAGACCCTTCAATCAGGGTCCGTACGACATTTTAGAGGGCTAGGGCGGGGATCGCGGGGTCATGGGCATGCCGAGTGACGTCATGATCCCCGAGATGACCTTCTTTGACAAATGGACCTTTCTCTTCCCATCAAGGGAAGAGTGGAGAGAGGGCAGAGTCGGCTCTTGGGATGGACTTGTCTGGTTCAAATGGGAGATTTGGCCGGAGCTGGAACGTACTGCGAGACAACGGGATCGAGCTTGTCGGTTCCTCTGGGTCAGTACTGCACTGTGTTTCACTCGGAAATTTTCACTTTATTGATGGCGGCCAGAGAGGTGCTTCGGTTCAACCACGGAAGCAGGAGGGTCTTCTTCTGCTCGGATAGTAGGGCCTATGGAGCTGAAGTCAGTGCGTACGCGCTCCTTGTTGATAAATGAGTGCAAAGGGGTACTGAAGAGACTGACTGAGGAGAGGAAGTCACGTTGGTCTGGATCCCGGGTCACACCGGTATCCGGGGCAATGAGGCAGCGGACGCCTTAGCCAGGGACGGCTCCTCGCATAGGCATATAGGGGCCTGAGCCCCGCTTGGGGATCGCACCGTGCGTGAGGCGGGTAGCTCTCGAAGCCTTGGCGAGAGACCGGTTCGCGGTGGGCTGGAGAGTTGCTCCGGGAATGAGGTAGGCAGGAAGCTGCTTAGACTGACCAGAAGGGAGTGTAAAGCACTAACACGGGGCCTATACAGGACATTGCAGGCTTAGGAGGCATCTTGCTTGCTAGGCATTGGAGACGACCCGGAGTGCAGGTGGTGCATGGAAGGGGAGGAGACCCCGTATCATCTGCTCACACAGTGCCCTGCTTTGACATGGGCAAGATTGGGAGTCTTCGGAACGGTCCTGATCGATCCGGACTCAGTGCACGGTATTGGGCTAAAGGAGTTGCTGACCTTCTATAGGAGGGGCTGCATTCTGGACGCCCTCTAGAGCGGGCTGGGGGTACAACGGGCCCATCTGGTGGCCTAAGTGCTTGGACACCCGCGAGGGCGTCCCCCTTTAATACCAATACCAATACCTCATGCACGGCTTAAAAGGAGCCAAATTTGAAGGTCGTGCTGCAAACCGTTCAAAAGATATAGCCAATTAATGCCAGGTTTACAGAGAAACGGAGAACAGAAAAAAAGTTTTTTTTTCGACGCTGACATTTTTGTACCAATGGCGGTCCCCTAGGACCTATCGTTGCCGAGATATAAGTTTCGTTGCCAAACGCGTATACTTTCGAAAAATTTGATTTCTTAGATTTTTCGAAAGTAACAATATTGCTTTCGCAATCTCGTCGCTGCGCGAGGCGACTGCTCCACACTACGCGCTACTCAGTCCACAAGACCGCGAGCGGCTTTGTATTTCGAAAAAGCCGCTTCGCGGCTTCTTGTCCTAGAGGGACACATCAATCTTATAACATGCTTGTGCAGACCGCTATGGAACTTTCGCAAAATCGATGTAATCAATGTATAAAGCGTCTTGCACGTTTCGCGAAACTTCAAAGTTTCGACAAACTTTCTTAAATATCTAAATTTGTACAGGTAATTGCGATTTAATATGATACCTTTTTGATTATCTCGCGTGCCCTGCATGATAGGCGAAACCTGAAACTCTCTCTCGACACAATTAACGATACTGTTCAAAAGATAATTATTTCATCTTTAACAGTTTTTCATTTATCGCCAATAATTGATACACAGAAACGGAGATTTTAGAAAACTCTTAGATTTTGTGGCCATAATCGACACACCCTAGATATAATTCAACCAATCTTCGATATAGAGGTTCTAGCCCTGGATCTTCCACTTTTCCCGGTATATAAATTTTTTCAATAGGGTGACTGGTTTTCGAGAAAATACTTATTTTCTGAAAGCATGCAATACGTCGTAATAGTAAATCGCGTCTAGATTGAATGCGAGAAATAGCGATTTTCATACGGATTTTTTCAAATATCTCGAGCAGCGTATGTGATAGACGAAAATGGTAAATAGAGAATTTGTAGCCCTTGACGTGGCCTATAACACAGTTTAAACCAATTTTATATATTTTTTACGATATTTGTTTTATGCCTAATAATATACTCTGGAAAAGGACAATTTTCAGGGTCTCTTACATTTTTGTTCATAATTCAAAAACCCTGTTTATAATCGAAAAAATGATTGAAATGGACGTCATAGTAATGGATCTTCCGCGTCTGCTGCTTAAAGAATTTTGCCAATCGGGGTAATAGTCTTGAAGAAAATGATTTTTTTTTCTGGAAACCAACATAAACCAAAAAAAAATCTTGAATTAAAAAAAAAATACTTCGCATACTTGACGGCGCCCAGATTCAACAATTTAGTAACGCGGCCCGGAACCGTGGAACAAGAAACTCACGTGCTAAAGTGACGCTTCCCGCACGCTAGATCGGTGTATAATTAAATATTTTACAGGAGTTGAAAAACGGCATTTGAGTCACGAGTTTATTTGGCACTAGCGGATCGCAGCAGAATGATTTGATTTGTTCCATCATTACCCATTTTATTTTTTGCACTTGCTTAGAAAATTAGGTATGAAGTAAGGATTTGGCAACTATGTCGCAAGCCGAGAAGATATTGTAGAAGATTTGCATATTCTTCAGAGACACAAATGATGGTATTATGTACTGTATATTGAATAGCGGAATGTAAAATTTAAAATTTTGAAGCAATAAAACTGAATATATGCCAACGACTGATTTAAAGTATTTGCCTCTCAAAACACACTCATCTGTTAAATTAACTTTTTTGAAAACTATACAGTCTTGTTCAATATTTGTAACCCATATCTCTTTCCTCAATTTTGATTTTAGTATTAGTATCATTAGCAAATTTTGGTTTGACTAAACACTTTAAATAAAATTCCCATATTAGATTAATGCAGTTCTCAGTTGAGACCAAAAAAATTTATTAATAATTGGAAATTTATTATTAAAAATCTATTGGGCTATTGGCTAGAATTTGAAACATTAATAAACTTTGATACATATAAATAACAAAATTGACTTAAATTCTAATTCTAAACTGCTCTAAATATTCTTCTTCTATAGGGTGCAAACTAGGACCTACAATGATTAAGGAATGTAAAGGTCTGCCTAAGTCAATACCAGTCATGTCTTCCAAGGTGCAAACAATAATTTTCTGATCATCCATCCCAACTCTTGCTAGACCCACACAAAGAGACTGCGATGAAATCTCTAAAACAATAGTACATAAAAAATATAAGCCCAGCCGCAAAAAAAATTATCACTGAATAATACTACCAGGTACTTCTTTTACTCTTCGGTTTTCAATTATTTTTAATAACTGATTGGCAGCTTCTGAAACAGACATGAAACGGGGGGGCATATATTCTTTTTTCTTCTTAGTCAAACTTTCTATTGTGGGTTCCTTCACTTTAATATCTATAAATTCACATCATTACCACTCCATCAAATTAAATTTGAAAGAATTACCCAACAAACATAATGTGTGCAACTGGTTTCTGTAATTGTTAAAAATTTTGTCCACAAAACTATCAGGTTGCCATGTTTCAGTCCAAAAAGGGATTGACACTGTTTCGCCAAACATATACAGTTGCAAACCACAACAACCAACAGCATTTAATATAGAAGCATTGTGGACAACGTGTACTTTAATACCCCTATTTTTTGCGCGTAACACTAAATCTGTATGAGTGGTTGCCCCAAAGGGATCCCCAACCACTAAGAAAGCTACATTTGAACTATCAGACCCCACTAAAATTTCATCTGCGCCTTGCTCTACTAATTCTCTGTCCGCTATAATCAAGTCTTTTCCATAAAATTTTTCCTGAAATTAGAACAGCTTAAAATTAATATATGTTTAAAAACATTCCGCATACTAATGCTTCTTTTCCGCATGTTAAAATTGAAGTATAGGCCTCTAAGTATACGCGATCACACTGCTTTATTATTTCCAGTCCTTTCACGGTGACATCTTTGTAATCTCCGAGACCCAATCCAATAATATAAAACATTTTTATAACATTATTAAAGTTAATTTTAAAAAGGTTAAGTCCAACATCTGCTTCTCATCACTTGTGTTCTGCATAACACATAAAATAAAAAAAAAATTATCCATGGACTCGAGCATTCGTGTCCAACTTAATGTGAAAAGTAAAAGGAGACGAACATTCATGCCGTGTATTCTTGGTATTCGTACAAAAACCTACGGTCATTTTTTTTCCTGGATTCTGTAGGTAGGTTGATTCTTGTCCGCTCTCTACATAATCCTAGTTTTTCAACATTTAAGACTCCATTCAAAATGCGCATGCGCGAGATTTAATTCCGTTTTCAACGAATGATCTTGTATGGGGCATTTTTAGAGCAGTATTTTTTCAAAATATGTTTAGATCTCGTTAAATGTTCTTTCAAAGAGAGTTAAGTGTGTGGAAGTGGCTGTTAAGAAAGAAAATTGCACACAATGCAGGTTAGTGAGTGAAATGTAGAGGCATGCGCGGAAAATCATTACCTTCTTCAAGAAGTATATCGATTATATGTTTTACCTGTAACAATGCTTGGCCTTCTAGAAATTTCACATTACACTTTAAATATTATCGTAAGTTGTTGCTCTTGCGTCATCAAAGGTACATATAAACATTGAGACTGCTAGTAAAATTGGCACATTTATTTAAGTTTAGCAGCCCCACCATCAGATTCGTGTATAATTTTTTTGCTTAATTTTAGCGAAATCTATGACATGATAAATCAGCAAATCGTCACTTCAATTCTTCATTACGTGGGATTCAATTAAGTGTTTTGTTAATTCCGCCTTTGACTAGTAAGAAGGGAGTACCCGATGGTGGTACTTTAGGTTACTTCTGGTTGCGATTTTTACATCTAGGTTTACGTCATTATAGTTTTGAGGTTATCTTTGTGCCGATGACACCCAACTGTACTTTTCTTTTTCTATGAAATGCCTTAACGAAGAAAGCAACAGTAATAATTCTGTACTTCATACTAATAAATCCTCAGTGGTGATATTCGGAAATGACAACCGAGTTGATAATATTAAAAACTACGTAAACTTCTCTATAAAAAATTCTTGGAGTAGTTGCTAGGTACTTTATATTCTCGGATAAAATTTAGACAGTACGTTATAAGCAAGGTAAAGATTGCATACAGTAACCTAAAATTAATTTATGAAAATTGTCACTCAGAATACTAAAAAGCTTATTTCAGTACCATATTAACCATAAGAAAATATAGTGACCCCTCTACAGTAAAAAGTGATGCGCGGCAGGTGGCTGTTATATTTCTGTAGAGAAGTTGTGGATTTTTTGCGCATGCGTCACCCCATATAGCTATGAGCAAAGAGTATAAGATAGAGGGGAAGGTCGTGTAGACTGTTACGAATGCCATCGATTATTTGTGTCCAAGTACTAAAGTACTGTCATGGCGCATTCAAGTAATGCGCCACACTGAGAATACTACACTGAGCTTGTAACGGATAACACTTTATTTATATTTTAATTAAAAAAAAAATTAAAACTATTTCGACATAATTTTTTTTTCACATTTCACCTTTCAAACTTTAAATTGAATTGAACCGTACGTCCCGCGCGTTTTCTGTTTTCATGACTGGACACAATCACTAGCGGCGTTGAAACTCAACTACGCTTTTTAACATTGCCACTAAAGGGAGCCTTTCCCTCTACCTTATTTATACTCTTTGGCTATGAGATAATATAGTCTCCTTTCTACGGTAAAAAGTGATGCGCCGAAGGTGATATTTTCGTAGGGAAGGTGTGGATCTTATGCGCATGCGTCGTCGCCAACTAACTGAGTTGCCACATTGCCGTAGTTTTTCTGAAAAAATTGACTAATTTTCATAAGATCGCAAAATCAGTCTCTGAAATCCAAATATAATTGGCAACGTTGAGCTTGGAATTGCTATGGTCAGAGAATGCTAACAGTCTGTGACATTGTTGTTTACATTTTTGGTAGTTATGATTCTCTCCGTCCCTTTTTCGTGTTTTTGCGAAAAACTTGTTGTGTTTGTGGTCAAAATTCTAAGGAAAAGAATGTGCCTATATACGGGTAAGTGTTGCATTATGTACAAGTTAATTAAAAAGATTTAAAAGTGGTTTTTAGAGGACTCCCACTCACAAACTTGTATAATTGGTGCTTTCAATTCTTACTTGCTCCTTCACGAAATTTCAACAAGTGTGGCAAATATGAGGACCTAATAGGATCTCAGACAAACGAGTGATTCAACAAACTACAAGGTACACTTAAATAGCTACATAGGAAAGATGTTTGGGTAATATGTTTTAGTGTACAAGAATTACAGGAAATGTAAGAAAACAATTCAGCTGCAACTTTTACTAGAACAATCACAAGAAATACTTCTTGATAGTTACAAATCCTTGTAAAGTGTTCGTTTGTCATCATCACATTGCATTTCAGTTGGTCAAGAATTACAGAAATTATTACCGCAGAAAGTAGGGAATTACCAGAATCAGTTCAGCTGCAACAGAAAGAACTTAAACTATAAATCTGCAGGATTTTTTTGGGAAGTCTGAAGGCATTACAGGAAATCTTTGAGAATTACCAGGAATTCTAGGCAACTGTTCAAAATTTTGGGGTACTTCATTTGTAGGTCAACTTCCTCCTGAGGGAGGTAAGTGAATACTGCAGTATGTACATACACAATTTAACACTGATTAAATAGAACCGCTTCTATCAATAAATACTGATTTTGTACATCTGCTTGTTAGATTCGGGACAACTTGAGTAGGAAAAATATTATATGCACAACTTGGAAGGAAGAGATTGATGAGTCTCCGACTATTTTCCCAACCCTTGCTTACCTTGAGAGTAAACTATCTCCTTGTTTCGCAAGTACCGCCTACCTCCCTTGTGTGAATAAATATTTAGCACAAGTTTTTGGACAAGTTATGGGACTGATCCATGTACTGTATCCCATTTTTTTGTAGACTTGCATATATGTCTGTTTCTTAGTTTTGATATAATAATCACTTATCCAGGTAGTGTCATTCAATTTATATTTTATTTTTTAGTTTACCAAAAGATGAAATTGGAGCTTCTAGAGAGGCTGGTAGCCTTAGAAATCATTCATATGTGGGGTTGACATCACTCCTTTAAGCTATAGAAGAGATGGTAAAGTCCTGATAAAGTAGGTAGATATTGTGATCAGGTATAAATCGGGTTACTTGTTTTCTGGTTATTTATCAAATAATTTCACATTCCTCAAAAATATAAAATATTATTTTATTATATATAAGAGAAATTTTTGTTGATAGGGAGGCGTTTTTAAGCTTTATTTCCAACAAGTCAAAATAATAATTTCCTTCCTAGGTAGAACTACAGCAGACACCAGCAGATCTTTAATCTTCAGTGGTAGTGCAACATTACAAGTTATAGAGAAGCCTGGCACAGAATAACCAGCGGTCATCTGTTTTTAAAAAGAACTTAAGGCACAGCAATATATTGACAAGTGCTTCTGATGTAAATTTTCTTTCGAATTTTCAGTGAATGAAATTTTTGCTGTAGTTATTCTACTAATAATTAACAGTGTTTTATTACATTATAAATGAAATTTTTTTTTATTGGTTTCATCTTCTTTTTTGCAATTTTTAAAGGTGGTGATCCTCTCAAAGGAAGTAATCTAAAAGTTCCTTGAAAAATAAAAATTAAATAATATGCTATTAAAAAATGCAGCATATTTTTTAATGCAATTCCTTATTGTGTTTATAAGCAACAATATATTTTTGTTCTTTTCAATAAAAGCCTTATTTAATAATTCATTTATTTATTTATACTAACCAAATCAAGTTAATTTAATTGATTTTGAGACAATAAACTACACTTTTTAGAGTTTGGTAGGTAATATTAATTCTGTTACATTTAGGGCTAATTGTTTATTGACTTGTTTTATACTAGTTTTTAATTTTCTGGGTTACATTTTCCAATACCTAGTTTTTAAAGAAATTGTCCATTGGTACTTTTCATAATTATATATTTCGGAGGCGAAACTTTCTTTAATTACTAGACTTGCGATGAGCGTTCTATCTATATGAGGTGCCTGTTGAACATTTTTTCCACTTACATGTTTCTTGTGCGATATCTAGTACCTTAAAGTTATATTTACACTTTTAGAGTCATATTTCGTGAATTTTGACTTTATTTCCATCTTTAATAGAGGTTAAAACAATAAGTTTATAAAAACAAACTGTTTGCGCCGATTTAACGGGCACAAATTCGGGAAAAATTAGCTGCTATCGTGTTTATAGCGCTTAAAGAACCAAAATGATAAAATACTTGCAGAAGGACGCCGATCCGTGTGCTGTAATTCTACATAATAGTAACTGTGGACTTATCGCTAATTTTTTTTAACAACACTTTCTACACCTTAATACCTTTTGTGCCTGAAAATTTAATGGGATTTCGACATATTTTGTGAAAATACTGCCGTCGTAAAAATGCAGCATCCAAACATTGACGACCCGCTATCCGCCATATTGGTTGTTGGAAGCCGCAAGGCCTTATGGGTTGAATGTCAGAAATTCAATTAACGCCGCCATTGATTGAACAGACCTCCAATTTTTTTTACATAGTTGCTTCACGAGTTCCTTTACTATTAGAATGGGGAGAGCCTCTGCATGTCCAGTATTAATCATTGTATAACAGCGTATTCGCGGCTTGTCTAGATAATATATAGAAAAATATCATATTCAAAAAGTTAAAAACTCCTGTCTTAGCAGCAGCTGTTCACGTGCTGCTCCATGTAAAATCATGCAATGTGCGACACACACAATTTGAATCTTCGTGGATAGGTTCTTCTTAGTGGGCCACAACAAATTGCTATTATTAAATTATCAGAATTTTGTTCATGTTAATATACCTTTGCTTGCGGTTAAATGGTGCGTTTATTGTTTGTGAAATAAAATGCGCACTATATTTGGTTCAATATATTAAAACATAAAAATATAAAACAATAAATGAGGTAATATGTATAATATACCAATTTATTTTTAACACTAACATATTACATGGTATCACATGTTTATTTGCACACATCCAAGTGTTGTACGTAAAATTTATTATTGACGTAACGTCGATGTGGGACGACAAATATTTTTAGGTATATAGTATTCTCTAACCAACTAATTGTAATGACCTTTCTCAAAGACTATAAACCCGTTTTGATGTCTGAGGGACAACTGCGAAAGGCGCCGTTTGGCGAAATTTTCTCCAAAATATTTGAAGTCGTTGTTTTCATACTCATTTTGTACAAATTAAGAAGTTACACGAAGACATTTGATTCGATATTTACCAAAATAGTTAAAATGTTTCTGTGTACATATATATTATCCTTTTAGAACAAAGACACAGCTATTTCTTTTCAAGATCCGTGATTTTATTTATAATAATATGATTGCCATTATGTTTATTCGTAGAATTTTCTTGCTACCAGTTCTTTTTATGTTTTGGAATATATTTGAGAAAATTCAACAACATTAACAACAGTAATATTTGTGCCCTCGTTATGTAAGTATATTTTAATAAAACCATCGTCGAAATTCGCATTTAAAACTTTGCCGGAAGAAACTAGTTATGATGAACAGAGTCAGATACCATACTTGTCTAGGAAGAACTTTCAAAAGTATATAAGCACTTTTAATTTTTTATTTCTTCAGCAGTTAACAAAGTCGCGAACTACAGATAAGTTCAGTGATAAATGCAGTCATTGCACATTTTGAAAGTAAATGTTTTAAGCTGTCGTTGGCGGCTTGAAACATTTCGATGCTACCGAACTTGCTTTAGACCTTGAAGTTCGGAGATTCGCGATCAGCCGGAGCTATTTAACGAGTGAATAACCATTAAACAGATATCTGACACTGCTATTAAAGGGTGAGAAATCATATTAACGATTAATGTTGCGAAAGTTGAAAAAGTTGTGATTTCGCTAAAAAGATGTCATGGCAAGAATTTTTATTAGTAGAGCGCCCAACAAGAGGGCTAGTTTAAAAGGATACATAATAATTTATGGCATATACTAAGGTTTCCGTTGCCTGCGCCGTTTAAGAAGCGCTGATAGGACGGTTTGTTAAAAAGTAGTCAAAATTTTTCTGTTTTTTTTAGGTTTGTAATACTGGCTTGCTACTTCTCAAGTCGGACCCGGCAACGGATGACTAGAACTCGCCTCAGCTGATTCAACGAAGACGAAAGTCGAAAAATTGTAGCGTTTTACATTCGGTATCACAAAATTTTCTTTTTGTAGTTCTCTTAAAGCCAGCCAGGCAAAATTTACTCGCTTATATACTTATAACTTTTTCTCATTAAAAAAAAAACAGGTGTAGTAATGTACATTATTACATTACAAACATATACAACTAATTGCTATTAGAATTATTTCCTCTTATTTACATTATGTACAATGCAATGTTACATAATTGTTTAAGTATTTACAGTTGTCGACCCTTCTTCCGCTAAGGCGAGAAGGCGCCTTAGTTATACTAATTATTTTTACAAAATATAAACCATTCTTTGCGGATTTCTTTGAGCCTCACAGCATAGACGGAAAGAATTATTCGAACTGTGCTGCATGTCGTAAATTTAGACGGATTTACTTGGAGTTAAAATAGACTATTGCAACGATATAATAAAGATATGATGAAAAAGTACGCTGCCAAACATTAAATGATAATTTTTTGGTGACTGTATTCATGTTACTTCTATTTAAATTTACGTTTTTCCATGAAAAGGTGTGGTTTTAGAAATGGGTTTTTAGTTTCCGTTTTTTATATTTTCTTTTGACAATTAACTCAGATGCTAAAAAAGACATCGTCAACTGGCATTTTTAGCTGCCTAATATGAAAAAAAAACATAAAAAGTCAATGGCGCAATTTATTATTGTCGACAAAACATCGTATCGAGTTTAGTAATGTACTTGAGTACTGTACCGGCTGGCGAAAACAAAAGGGACACTTCATCTATTTTGACTGTTAAAGTTATTTTGATCATAAAAGATAATAGAACCGATAGGCCGGGTAGCGCGTGTCCCATTTTTTGCACATTTGCGAAAACCACATCTTTCTAGCTTCGAAAACAAGTGAGATATCCCCCGAAAGTATCAAAAACGGGACACCCCGTACTTGTTGGCGCGAAGTACCATGTGTTCCGTTTCCTCTTAAACTTTACAACAATTTGGATTGTTTAAATTGAACACGCGGCAGGTATGTCTAATGTAAAAATAACAGACGCGTGTTTAATGAAAAAAGTTCCTGAAAAACACTACCAATCATGTCCACTGTGATCGTCATCAAGTTCGAAATTTTTAAAAATGTCACTGTGATACCTACCAAATGTAAAATTTTGTGAAAAAATAGTCTTAGAAAGTGGAAAAGATATCAAATTTTTTAGTTGCCGGATTGAAATTTTATTTACCATCCAATATAAAAATTATACTTCTTAAACAACTACGGTATCGGACAAAATTAAAGCAACTACTACAATAATCTGATTTGGCCATCACAATCTTAATTGCAACCCAATCCATAAAACGCACAAAAAAAGGTAAGGTAAGCAACGGTAAAATTTTATTTTCATTAATTTCACCTAACCAATCAAGAACTAAAAGGTTTTGTTTCTAATCAAATTTTCGAAAAGTTGCGTTAATTTAGTCGTTCCAACAGTGTCGTTTATCCGCTTTGGGAGTTAGCGGTTTAAATCGCAAAATATTTGTTGTCAAATTTACAGGTAAACGGCAACGCTGCAATGGTGACACTACCGTAGCGCCCAAAACAATGTAAAATTTTACTTTACCTATGGCCGGTTTAGCTTTTTTTAGAGAAAAATCAAGGTACTTCAAATTTATCCGAGATATTGAAAATTTTATTTCAAATATGCATCCAATAAGGTAGATGCGACAAATAAGACAGCAGTGGATTTCCCGTTAAAATTTGACAATAGAATCCTGCAGTGCAACTTGCAGGTGGCGCATACCTTCACTAGGAGGTGAATCATACATTTACTACTGGCGATAAGATTAGATACAAATTTCAATTTTTTGTAATATTTGCAAAATAACTAAATTTTGCACGCCGGAAATAATGTCCTTGCGTTTTGTTCCTCAGGTCATATTTCTTTCGCATAGGCCTTGTGCAAGTGCGGACAATTAGGAATCACATCAGAAGCGGTAGAATTGTACCAAAAATGGGTAGAAATTCAAGAAGAAAAGGAAAGTGTAGCTTGAATTGTAAGGCTGGATGATATTGGATATCCCATCACTCCACAGATCATGCGACACCAAATCTTTAAATTTGTAGAGGCTAACAAAATAGCGCAGAATATGAATATCGCGAGTCGGGCTGCAGATTGACATGCACCCCCAGCAAACAATCTTATCACTGAAAGGAACGAAACTCTTACATCTAGTTTCTCCTCGGCACGCTGAGAATGCCAGTGTTGTGGGATACGTTTCAGCTACTGGAAATTCAATTCCTCTAATGATCCTCTTCAAAGGCAAAGGCATGAAACCAGAATTTGAAGATAACTTACCAGCTGGGCCATTGGTCAAAAGCCCCGAAAACAACTACAAGCTTTTCGTATTGTCTATTTGCCATTTATCAAAATTCAAAATAGCTGGGCGAATTCTTTTGGTCTTTGACGAAGCTGCGTCGCATTTGGACTACACCAACGTAGAAAAAGCAGATAAGCATAAGAGTTGTTATGCCTTCCCAGCAATATAACTCACAAACTCCAACCGTTGGACAAGTCAGTCTACAAATCTTTTGAATCCCATTGGGATCAAGAAGTGTTGCGCTTTTGAAGAAATTATCCAGACAGAAGAATAACCAAATCAATGTTCAACTTAATATTTACCAAGGTTTGGTCTAGATGTAGTACCAACGAAAATAATGTGAATTATCGTCCTAACATCGAACCTGGAGTGAAAGGCATGGAGTCACTTGACGCAAAATGTAGCAGTGAAGATAAATTCCCTCCTAAAATGACCCCTTAAACACTAATTTTCAAGAAATGATGCCATAGCAAAACAAAAGTTGGAAGCGCGTGCTGCTGGCGTTTATGTATCCCAGAAAACTGCAGAAAAATATGCTGAATTTACAGCAAAAGGAAAAAAAATTTCGTCCAAAATTGTAAAAAGCACTCAAAAAGCTTTATGTTCAAAGGAATGAGCAAGTGATCAATGTTTGGGCTATACCGCCTCACCCGGAAAAAATAATAGACATTATTATATCCAAGCATAGAAAATAAGGGATGTTTGCATTGCTAGATGACATACTATGCGTTTTATACCTGATGCAAGTTTTTGCATACCAAACACTGTGTTTTGATTAAAAAGAGTATACTTTATATTATGAAAATTATCGTTCCTTAACCGGGTCTTATTTGTCGCACTTGAAAGTATCAAAAGTCAGCACGCCGTGTAAAATAATTGCGTGGCGGGGAGAACAGTCAACAATCGTTAAAAAAAAAACTCCAAAAGCCCATTATCTATGCTGCGCTTGTACAGTTTGAGCGATCGAAATCGACTTAAAAGTTACGTACTATAAGTACCTAGTCCAGTCGCTTTCGATAACCACCCGAGAGTCAATGTCTTTTACTTAAATTGAATCACAACCTGAAGTAAAACTATGTCAATTGTTTCCCGGTTTAATGCTACGTGCCGCCAACTAGCACATGCATAAACCCGTCCCATTCGTTGATCGGATCTGTCCGCGACTCTTTCCAGTCTTGGTCGCCATTACTTAAACCCAGCTCGGCATACAGTTCGTTATTGTTCAGCGATTCCAGATCGGTCTGTGACGTCAAACTCAACACAGAACTCCAGTTGATCGGCTTCGTCATTTCGTCATCACCTAGTCCCGAGTCTGTGTCGGTCGTCGTCGTCGAAGGGAACGGCGTAGCCCTGCCCGAAAAGTTACCCACCTCCCGAAGGCTTTGTTCGTAACTAGGCTCCGTCACCGGGTTCGGTCTGGCCGGTTGGTTTATCTCCGGTAACGGTGAGTAGGTCGACTCCGACGGTTCCGCTTCCATCTCGCGTTCTAGCCGTCGCAGCGTGTTGCAAATGAGTACCGACCTGCGCAGCGACGGATCGGAACACTGTCTGTATCTGGCCAACTTGCACATAGAGAGGTTGAGCACGGCCAATCGTCTCTGCCGATAACACGGCACGTGACACCACCTGGTTCGGCCGTCGCAACACCGCGTCTTCATCTGCGGCGATGCGCCAAGCTCAAGGTAAGACTTGCCGTTTTCTTCGCAGCGGATCGTTTGCTGTTGCGGCGATTGGTAGTATTGCCAGTAGTCCATTTGGTACCTGCGAACGAAAAGACAAATTTAAATTGGTATTGGAAATTCGATCCTTTACAAAATAAAAATCAAATTTTTTTAACTTCGTACGTAATGTTAAATACAATATGTTCATTTCCATCGTCAATAATATATTGTATAGGAAAAGTCATTCCTAATACTAACCTAAAAGAAAAAACAAAAAATTATGCACGGGTTTGATACAATTTGTAAATAATTTTCTACATGATAAAAAGTTTCTTCTAAAAAAAAGGCTTTTCAAATAACTTTGACAAGCTTTGTAAAAGTAATGGTCCTACATTTCGATGAGGACTGAAATCCAATATGTGCTAGTTTCTAGTCTTTAAGTTATGTATGTATACAGAAACATAGTTCTTAGATATTATAGTGGCCCTACTACAGTAAGAATTTATGCGTAGCAGACGACATTGATATTTCCCTAGAGAAGGTAATGATTTTCCGCGCTATTTTCGTTCTAAACAGCGGCTTCCCACATACCCAACCCGCTTCCCCAGCGGTCATGATGGTTGTTGAATGCCGCAGGGTCGTTGATTAAAAACAAATTTTTAAATCTCGCGCATGGGCCTGTTCAATGGACTTTTTTAAAAGAAAATTTATAGGTGCTCTCTTTAATTTTATTAAAATATATATTTTTTTAAATAGTCTCTGCAACTATAAATTTGGTTTTCCAGCAAGATAATAGGCAATAAAAACATTTGTAGCGAGAGTTATCCGATTCAATTTTTAATTTATTTACGTTATTTTGTGCATCATGAAATCGCACAGGCGTCGGATTAGATGTGTGTTTGCGTGAAGAGAGTCATCACAGAACCAACCTCTTTTTTAAAATCAAAATCAAAAATTATTTTGGTTGACACAGCCCAATGCCCTGCTGACATCGCAGAATTGGGATCAATAAATTTATTAAAATATTCATCTATACTATTGAGCTGACAATTTTCTATAGAATTTAGCTCCCGCATACCGGGTTAATAAAAAGTACCAGATCTTAAATATCTCCAAAATGCTACGCGCAATGATATCAAATTTAGCGGTGATATTTATAATTATGGTAACCATTCACTGAAACACTTCTAAAGTTTCCTATGTTCAAGAACCTGCAAAATTTTAAGATGTTAAGAATTTTGGTAAATCTGACAACACTGAATATTCATAAATATAATAAATAATAATAAATAAACATAAACCCCCAGGTATTGAATTTTATCGTTCCAGTGGCAGTTTTGAAGATACTTTTTACTAAAGCGGTATAGTGGCGACTTCTCAATCAATCCTAGTCTATGTGCAGGATAAGTTAACTTATTGCTACATCTGGTATGAAAGTCACTGTTAAATACTGTAAGGGATAGAGTTTTAAAAAATCTTTACAGTGGCCGTACCTCGACGCATCGGCAATATTTATTTCTCTACAGCTCGTTGTTGCAATTTGATACTTTATGACATTGAGGGGAACCACCCTAAAATAGGAGACCATGTTTAACTGTACATACATACAACACTTATTATAAATATGTAGCCCAAGCACTCTTGCATCACAAACTTGTGGTACAGATTTGCGTTCGTTTCTGGACCGGACGGGTCGATGGGTTCTATGTATTTCGCGACACGAACCTTGATAACCCCGAAGAGAACACTGCTGAATATTCGTTTAGTCCAAAATAATTTACATAAATAAGGATTACGCTTTTGTCTTTTAGAAGCCTTTATGAAGAACAGAGACAAACATTTTTTTGCAAAAATATTTCCATTCCCCGGGCTCTAGAATAGTCGAAATCAGGGTTTTTTTTTTAAACAAATGCGAAAAACTTGTGATTCGATATTTTAAATGAAGGGTAGTTTGTTATATACACGTGGATCAAAATCCAACAATTGGGGAGATTTCGCGCAACAAATATTTCGGAAAAAGAATGTTTGTATTTTTTACCTTAAAAATGATAATAGAACAATAAAATATTACGATTTATTATATTGAGCAATGTTCTGTTTTGGTGTCGGAGGAGAGTAGCAGAGCGAGTGCTTAATAAACAACTGACTGAACTGAAACAGCACGAAGAGTGAAGTGTGACCTGACTGTCAGAATTGACAAACTTCAAAATTCAAACCGTGCGGTAAAATCTCCGAAAACATCCGATTCCCGCGCGCTACATCGGTGTATAATTGGGTAGAAAAAAAAAACATTTTTTTAAATTAGAACATAATTTTAGAAATATGTTAAGAATTCACAGATTTCATTCAGCTGGTGCACCAGGATTTATTACAACAGGAAAAAAATGCTAAAAAAGACATAAAACTATCGGAATAAAAATTTACAATTCCAGCGGTCAATTTCCAGTAGAAAGAGTTTGCTACTTTATTCGCTAGGAACATCGAAACTATGATTTAGAGTATATATTTAGACTATACGCGAGCTGGAAATAAGTGCTGACCTGTTATGGTAAGACTGCGTGGTGGCGGAAGCGGGATGAGCAAAGCGAAGTGGATCGGGGGGCGGTACCATCCCCGCGCACTTCTCGTCGTCGCTGAGTTCGTCTTCAAACTCGTCGTCGTCGAACTCATCTTCGCTGAGAAGGGTGGCGGCGAGGGAAGGTGTTGGAGCGCGCCACGTATCCGCCGCGGGTACCGCTACTGCCCTAAGTCTCGCTATGCAGTCATCAGTGGTAGTGATAGTGTTATTTATGGGCGGTTCATAGCGGCCGTTTTTCGCCGGCGAGGATTCAAATTCTGCGAGGGACGCCACGTCCAACTTGCGCTTGCCTGCTGCTACCGCCGTGGTGGTTGCCTGCAAACCCATCATTGCACAATTCTGGAAAAGAGAAAACGTTATACGTTACTTTTTGTTGATAGTTAATGAAATTCGATTCAAACCGCGAAAATATTTAAAAAATACAAACCCGTAAACCGGTAAACATTTAACTCTAAAATCTCTAAAATCTAATTTTGACGTAGTAATTCTCAAAGCAGATAAAGGACATGTTATAAACCCAATTGCCTATCAAAAAAAAAAATTCAAGATATTAATTCTAAAGTCTTTTCTTTATTAGAATCCGTGAAAAAATCTGTTCCCCTCACGATTCCAAAATTCCTAGGGACTCCATAAAATTCAAAAACCAGGATTACCCTGTCGACCTCTTCTTGGTTTGTTCTCCAACCTATTCTCTAGAAAAATATCTTTGATATTAAAACCCTTACACGCAAAAAATGATAGTCTTGTACTTGATTTCTTTCTCTGCATTGAACAATTAAAAACGATACTCTGGTCACTTTCGAAAGAGTCCGGTACCTCATTCTTAATTCTACTATTCCCGAAACTCTCAACATTATTCCAGATAAATAAAAATCTGAGAATCTGGAATTAAACTTTCTCATCTTAATTGAAAAATGCTTGTCTGGAACATATTTTTCTTGTAACAATTAAATTTATGAACAAATATCAGAACCAGCTATAGCTTCTGCATTATCACCAGTTATAAATATACGTAAGGAAGCTTTTAAGAAATTTATGGGAACGGTACATTGATGACACCTTTATTATTGGCCCTATGTTCAAGAATCCCTTCGATGTACAAACAATAACATACCAAAGCACACATAAACTTCCAACAATTTTTAGAAAATAATTTTTTATTTCATTAAAATATAAATTTTAGGAATTTAGAATTAGAACATAACTTTTACGAATATATCTAATAATGCAGTGTTAAAAAATAAACGAGTCAAAATAAGAAACCACAACTAACTAATAAAAATAATTAGATTATATTACACTTATTATATTATATTTATTATATTACACTTATATCTGAAATCATTGGATCTGACAAAACTAAAAAATATCTTCAATGGTTTTTTTTTATTAATATTTTTCTAGTATTGGGGTCTCGATAAAGCCTGCATCCTTTAAAAACCTCTTGCACATCCCCAGAAAGCTTTTCGATAGGAACAGGCATATATAAACTGTTGGCTGATTTATTACTTTCAATTGCTGAATTAGGCTTTGACTAAAAAAAATTAAAATGTCAAATCAATAGTTCTACGATAGAACTGTTTTTATTAGTCAACTAACAAGCGAAAAGAACTTTAATACTCAAACCGTACAAAGAAATTTCGAAATTGGAAAAATAATGGGTAGAAGTAGATTTACAATAAGATATATTATCCTGAGCTACAAAAATGAAAACAGAACTGAAAATAAGGCTCGGTCGGGGCGTCCACGAAAACTAACTAGAGAAGAGCTAAAAAAAAGCTAGTTAACGAAAATCCGCGACTATATACACCTAAAATAGCCGCGCCGCACAAAAGGAAAATTTGTATAAAAAATTGGATTAAAATTCTATACCAATAGAAAAAATCACTAGTTGGTAAAACTAATACACGAAGAAGACCATACAGCTTAATTTTGCAAAACTAAACAGCAATCATGGAATAGACTTCTGGAATAAGATAATATTCACTCATTATCAAAGGAAGTTTAACGTGTTTGGAGACGGCTTCAAAAAGTGTGGAGAAAACCAGCAGAGGTATTAAATCCTAAAAATACAATTAAGACTGTTAGGAATAGAAGTGGAGGCATAATGGTATGTGCAATTATGGTGACTTCACGTGTTGGATTTTAGTAATAATTGAAATTACACCTTGTCTGCAAACAGGTTTCTCAACTGACCAACATCAACATGGTAACCACTAAACAAAGCTTGGAATATTGAATAAACTACGAATAAGTACCTCATTAACCCCAGTCGTCCTCAAAAAACCTGCGAAAGGTGTTTCCGTCATACCAATATCAATTACAACATCAACTAAAAGACCCAGCCCTGATTTAAGATATAATTAATTTTGTTCTTTCTTCAAACCCACATTTTTCTTCATTTATGTCCCGAACTGGCCATTTACTTATGTATAGCCTGTATGACAGATGCAGAATGCATTCAAAAAATTGTATATATGCGTGCCGTGTAGAAGACCTTTGTAAATAGTTTTATGTTTCGAAATAGCTCCACAAATATAACATACTGGAGGGACAGAATTTCCCATTAACGAATTGCAAATTTTCATATCCACCTTTTTTTTATGTAAAATGTGTTCTACATGAATTTCGTGGCCCGAGGATGTGAATAATTTCGTTGGTAATAGATTTGCAAAGTGTACCACAGAATTTAAAAGAATCTCATCACTGCTATTAAAATTTTCAGTAGAAGAATTTTGTTTGTATGTCGAATTGTCTGCCACTACCATCTAAGCGCCATTTTCAGCCCTAAAGGATAAATTTCAGAATTTCATCTTGAATTTCAACCAAACGTTGACTAGTGTAATCTAATCACTTCTGCAAAGTAATTTCGGTTGTATTGAAGACGAAGTATCTCACCTCATAGTATGGGCGATAGAGATTCACATTTCTTTCAGTTGCTCCCTTCTGTATTGCAATGTATTGATGGTTTGATAATTTTAAATCAACCACCAAAGCAAGTGCCTCATCTTGTGAGTAACTAGATTTTATGATAGTATCAGATGGTTCAAGAGTCATTTTTACTTTTTAAATGTTTTGGGACCACTATGTGTTACTTAATTTATGATTTCCACAACGCTTTGCCTTGCTATGGATCTGCAACTAACCTCTGTAAGCTCTTCTGCCTTTTGATATTCTATTGAAAGATTAATTTTTCTTTTTTTTTATATAATCAAAATCAAAGTTCTCTAGCAGTAAGTATTTTTGCAACCATATAGAATATTTAATCAAAAATCTTGAAAGAAAATTTGTTGAAAATTATTTGAATTTTCGTTTTAAGGAACAAAAAACCGCTTGGATTGAAGAAACCAGAACATACCCTCTTTAGAAACGCGACCATCATTGACGTAAAGATGTGGTCGAAAAATGCTGGGTAGTATTACAGGGGAAATCATTTTTTATTAACCATTATGACGACACCGGTCACGTGTTTTACTGCTCGACAGTCATGAGTAACCGGATTTAGAATGACGCCGCTGGAAAAATCCCATTTCGGACAACGAAACGTACGAAAAAAAAACATATATATCTGGCTGCCCTAGCCGAGCAATCTACCGAAATCGTGGTCGCCGTCGTCGTCGTCGTTGTCGAGCCAACAACAGGATGTTTGCGTCATGTTTTCGAGAAATTAGCGGCAACGCCGATTCGAAACGTACGCGTTTATATATGTAGTAAGCGCAAGTCGACGTCGAAAATAACCTTGGGAGCGTAGTTTCTCATCGTGACACAAGCGAAGTGATCGGCCTTCGACGGTGTAAAACCGGCCCGAACCCGCTACCATCGTGGCGACGGCGACGGCGGCCGACTTGACCACTGAGTGAACGCGTATACCTCTTTTGCCGGTGAAACTGCTACAAAATAATAAAATTCTATAGAAAGCAACGTCGATCGACTGTTCCATGCCCCATAGGCATAGAAGTTTGAAAGTCCCTCTGTGGAAATATCGAGTTATAGGGTTTTTACGACAAAGTGCATGCGGCCTAAATTGTTTATTGTCATATATCGACGTGGTCAAATCAGAATGGTGATGTCAAAAAGTTGGCTTATGGAAACACCAACTTTGACCAAATCATATATACAGTAGTCAGCGAAAGTCTAGGCATGGTTTGAAAATGCTGATAGATTGCACTAGCTTTTGTGTTATTTTTTAGCTAAAATAGTAATCACTATCTAACCCTCGTTATTCTCTTGCAGATTTCCTCTTAAAATATTTAGGTAAATATTTTTATCCATTGTTCATTCACTTATTACTAAATTCCAACACCTGAAGTCACTAGAATATCACATACCATTATGCCTCCACTTCCACAGCATTCCAACAGCCTTAATTGTATTTTTAGGATTTAATATCTCTCCTGGTTTTCTCCACACACCTTTAACTTGCTTATTATCTTATTATCTTATTCCAGAAGTCTATTCCAAGATTTCTGTATGGTTTTGCAAAATTAAGTCTTCTTCGTGTATTTATATTACTAAATAGTGATTTTTTTCTAGCGGTGCAGGATTTTAATCCAATTTTTTATACAAATATTGATTTTGTGCGGCTATTTTAGGTGCACATATCATGGATTTTCTTTAACTAGTCTTTTTTTTTCGCTGTTTTCTAATAGTTAGTTTACATCTACCTACTATTTTTCCAATTTCGCCATAAGACTTCTTTTCTTTGTACGGTTTGAGTATTAAAGTTCTTTTTGCTTATTAATTGACTAATCATTGACTCTAATTCAGCAATTCAAAAGTAATAAGTACTTACTAATGGCTATAAGCCATCCCGTTCCCAGTTTCAAATTTTTCTGTGAAATCGCAAATCTTCCTAATCCCTCGGCCCACCAGCATCTTCTTGGTTGTCCTACTTTTTTCCTTTCTCTGGAAATCCATTCCAGTATTCGAGTATCGTCGAGGCCCCCATTCCCATTCGCGGTTTTTCCATTCTTTTTGAGTGAGCGGTTTTTGTTGGATTCTATCAAACTTGATTCTGTTTTCGTCATGTTTCGTGTCATTCCTAGTTCTATCTAATCTAGACTTCTTGCAGCTAAGAAATCCATCTCAGCAGAGAAAAATTTACTGCGGTTTCTGCTATCACTATCCTTCCGTTCCATATGTGATTATAGTTTCAAATATGGTCTTGTATATTCCTTTCTTTATTTCTGTGGTAATTTTCTTATCCCAAAGTGTTGAGTTTAGAAAACGTGTAACTTGTTTTTCCTTATTTATCGTTTATTTTATTTTATCTCGACTATTTCCTTGTTTGTTGAACACCACTCCCAAATACTTACAAGTTTTAAATGTTCTTGTTCCAG